CTCGCCCCGCCGATTCTCACCAGCTGCTCCAGCTTTCAACGGTGAGTTCACGGTGTGTGTGTGTGTGTGTGCGTGCGTGCGTGCGTGCGTGCGTGTGTGTGTGTATGTTAGTGATGCCCATGATCAGTACTGTATGGTGCACACATTGTAATGTGTGCACCATACAGTACTGATCATGTGTACCAATGAACTGCTCTACGTTGATTTGGCCTTGCCAATCCAGGCTGCAATGCAATGTGTTCATTGCAGTGAACTGCTCTACGTTGATTTGGCCTTGGCAATCCAGGCTGCAATGCAATGTGTTCATTGCAGTGAACTGCTCTACGTTGATTTGGCCTTGCCAATCCAGGCTGCACTGCAATGTGTTCATTTGGCAGAATCCCAGCATGTCCGTTCTTCGGCGCGCATGCTCACTGCAATAGCCTTCAAGTGTTTGTGCTAAGTCCTATGCATGTGATGTGAAGAATTTACAAGCACTGGATGGTGTTGTCATTCTTGTGTCTTGTCTTCTCCAGGATGCTGCAACACTGCCTGCTGGAGGATATCATCTGGTTCTGTCCATGTGACGTCACCTTCATCACAGGCATGATACCTCTTCCTGCCACTGCTGCTAGCGTTGGTGAGAGTTCTAGCAGCAACTCTACGGCTGCATCGAGCCCCGAATCGGCGAACATTTTACCGCTGTCCCGCCATCAGTGCATTCTTTTACTCTCACCGTCCAACGTGCGGCTGATCAGTACTGACGAGGGTCTGCGTGAAACGCACAGCTGGACGTACAACCTGTGCGACGTCGAGTTCCGAGACTTCCCCTGCTCGGCGCTGCCTTCGCCCGGCCGTGGCGGTGGCATGGCCGAGGAGGTGGACGTTTGCCTGTTGCCGCTGTCGGAGAGCACCACCACACTGCTTGCCGGTGTCAGCACCGCAGCACCGCAGGCACACAGCCACTCTGACTGCCTGTGCCATATCACACTGCCGTCGCCGCTAGCTGCCAAGCTACTCTTCACGTTCGTCGTCGTCCTCTCCAAGCAACATCACTTCTACATCTCATAAAATCCATTCGCACACCAACGACTAGAGAATGCCAGTATAATATATTGCTGTTCTCCCGGTGAGGAGATCTGGCTCATTGAAGTAAGACCCCCGCACAGTCTATCCTGTGTTTTCACGCCACAGTCTATCCTATCCTATTCCCGGCACAGTCTATCCTATGCTATGCATGGCACAGTATATCCTGTGTTTTCAACTTTTCACGGCACAGTCTGTCCTGTATTTGGCTGGTTGAATTTCAGACTTGGTACTACATCGTACTCTGTTCACTTTATTCGACGATGCATACTTTCATATTTATTTGTTATTTTTTTAATATTTGCTGCAAATACTCAGTTGAGAATATTAATTTTTGATCTAAATCAGTCAACAATTGCACTAGGATAATGGTGTATGTAGCCGGCGCCCCCACCTCTCCAGGTACTCCAAACCCTGGCTTTTTTTCCTTCTCATACATTTGCTTTTGAACGCAGAGCTATCTTTTCAAACATTAGCGGGTGGCTTCTCTTCTCCCTGTTTGTACAGTCAACTTAACTAGTCTTCTATTTTACCAGTCCGTCCGGGCACTATCTTTTTTACTTTTTACCAGTTTACCTGTCTGTTTTAGCATTGCTGCTGCTATGTATATTGTTTTGAATTTGTACAAGTGCTAAACAGCCATATGCATTGCGTGAGTGTACCAATCCTGTGTGCAGTCGGAGGGGCGTGCATGTCTGGTGGAAGACGTGCATGCTTTCCAACTTCATTCTGGCGGACGTGATGTAGCACATCATTGCACATTATGGCATTGTTCACAACTGTACCTTCTATTGTATTAATTTGCTCAGCACCCCCTCCCCCCTGCATGCATGTCATCATGCAAAGTTGCACAAAGAGGTCAAGGTTAAGGAGTCCCTTGCAATCGCCGTAATAAACCTTTTTTTCAGTTGAGTGGCAAGGTATTATTATTTTTGACGTCCACGAAATTCAGAATAAAGATGGCCATTGTCACAACTGAAGAGAACGCTACCTAAACAAACAGCTAAGAAACTTGAAAAAATAATTTGCCGCTGGAACTTCCAACTTGTTGCTCGGCAATTGCCTTTGCTCATTGCCGACACTGCACATGCAATCACCAGGATCAAAGAGTTTCGGCTCACAGCATGGACTGTGTGAATCTCAACGTACAGTGCCAGTGCCTGGCGTTGGCTGGAGACAGTACCATGGTGTGAGTAGAACCGCATGCCGGCATGCCATGTTCATTGGGCAAAGATACCACCATACACGTGGCATAAACCAGTGGTACTCCATTGAACAAACTGGCTAGGAAATAAAAAAATAGGAATAAATAAACGTCGTGAAAGCGTAGCGAGGCGGACGCCAGGACAGGAAGGCCACGACAGCCTGCAGCTCACTCAGCAGCTTGGGAAGGATCCCGGGATCACGCAAGCTCAATTGTTGCCAATGGTGGTCCCTATATTCAGCATGGCTGTAAGTGACACACCTAGCTCCGTACAAGGGGAGAGAATACAGAACCGATGCTCCCGGTACGCTTGCCATCCAGACACATGGCAAATTCGTGAAACAGATGCAGCGATCACGGCACAGCCATGCCAGTATCTGCTGGCTTCCAACAAGATGTCGGTGGGTGTGATACAACCAACGAGCCCTGGAATTGTGATGAGACCAGTGTCCATGTCCGACTGTTGGTGTAATATGGTCAGGTACTCAGCTCCTGGGTCCTGGAATCTGCCAGAAGGTGTGCAAGGTTTGTATGGTAAGAGAAGCACAATTCAGGTATCTCGCTGGTGGAAGAAGTTGCGTAGCGAGTCGTATACACCAAAGTACACAAAGCCACCGATGCCAATCCAGCACACGCGCGGTATAACGCCAGCGAATATCCTGACAGTTGCAGCACACACACATACATGTACATGCACACACACACACACGCACGCACGCACACACGCACACACAGATACAGACACACACGGCGGCACGAGCTTCAGAAACACAGTGCACACTAGAGATATAACTATTCGTACTGCACAACTAAAAATCACTGCCACCGATTTGCAACTTATTCCCGTAATTGCCAGTATCGACGCAGGTCGAGTGACTTTTCTGGTCCCAGCAGATGTGCTTGTGTACAATGCACATTGTGACAATGGACAAGACACAATAAGACCAGTAAGTACTAACTGGATCACAATTGCTGGGCTGCGGAGCGTGTACGTAATCAGAGCTGGACTCAACACGGCAGCATCATGATGCCCCCCCCCCCCCCCGTGGTATCCCAGCAACAGTGTGCGACTACCAAATCGTGCAGCCATGCAAGTCAGTTCCAGCAGCACTCACCCTGCTAGGCCAGCTTCCCTGTACACGAGTCGTACCACCGTAGGCATATGGCCCTTGGCTTCAACGCTGCCTTTCTGCAAGCATACAGAACAGAATTCCAAAGCCGTGAAATCAGTACTACCTTCTTCAAGTACACAAGTTCCTTGTGAAGCCCCAGACTGCTGGCATGATAACCACTAATCAATCTAGAATGCAGAAGTTGGGTATGACAGCCGTACGTTTAACAGCATCCTGATGCCCTCAAGCTGCCTGTTGAAATGAATACTGGACTATGAAGAAGCTACAGAAAGACAGCTGTTTTGTTCTCCTTGGAATACAGTCTGCACAACTCTATGTACAAAAGAGATGAAAATACTACAAATCAAAAATACTACAAATCAAAAATACTACAAATCAAAAATACTACAAATCAAAAATACTACAAATCAAAAATACTACAAATCAAAAATACTACAAATCAAAAATACTACAAATCAAAAATACTACAAATCAAAAATACTACAAATCAAGTACAAATCAAAAATACTACAAATCAAAAATACTACAAATCATGGTCCATGAAGGCATACACTTAGTACGACTCTCCGCTAGAATTACGTGCCACTGTAGTGCCTACAAGTGCTAAACTTGTCCTTACTGGCGCCAGCATTATTCTCGTCTTGGCAACGTCGAGTGGAGTGGTCACAGCAGCTGAAAATGCACCTGAGCAAAACACATCAGCAAACCCAACAACACTGTAGTGAGAATATGGAATAGTGTGATGATGAGTTTGCAGCTCTGGGTTTGCAGGTCCGGGTTTGCAGCTCTGGGTTTGCAGTTCTGGGTTTGCAGTTCTGGTTTGCAGTCCTGGGTTTGCAGTTCTGGTTTGCAGTTCTGCGCACCACGCCGAACTCAATTGAAGAGCACTGGAGCATGATCACAGTGCAATCCACTCTCAAAGAATGAAATCTGCAACAGGAACAAACTGATGTAACTAGAGAGAGAGAGAGAGATTAAGATGTGTGCCGCACGCGCCAGGTGGATGTGCATTGGGGGTGTGAATCCCGCAACGTCCAGCCAAACAAGTCGCGGCACCTGAAACATATGTGCGAGGCTTCATTCGGGCCATGCCTGCGTAGTTTTCGGAGGTTTTCTAGCATTTCATCATGATTAGAAAAATTCCGCGGCCGCAAGTGCAGTTACCTTAGTCGTTAGAAACGGCGAATGCTGGTACATGCACGTGTCCAGCACTTTATTTCTTATCACAGAATACGCAACCCGTGTGATTTCAGACCTGAGTAGACAGGCGCACACATTCGCATTCAGGTCTTAAATCCAACTTGCAGCAGATCTCATAGTCATAGCCACTCATTTCTCCCGTGTATGTCCCGATATATCACTTACCAGCGAGTGCTCCACAGAGCGCTGACTGCCATCCGGAGAGAGCCGATCCCTGATAATTTGCCCAGGTTCGCTTGGGTGATGAAAAGCAACGCACAAAAAATGGAAAATGAACATTTATAGTACAGAGCCAAGATTTGAATACACAAGTTACCTAGTGTTTCTTCAGAATTCCCAAACTCCATTGCAGCGTATTTCTTGCACTTGAAAACACCGCCATGCCTGCATTATTCGTCTTTATATTTCGTGTTTTTGCCTCCCCTTCCTCAATGCCCTGATGATGCCCAATGGGCGAAATATTGGCAAAGTTATTTATTTGGTGCAGCTGAGAGCCTGTTGCCGGAATGGCGGTGTTTTCAAGTGCAAGTTTACCTAGTGCATGTATTAAATAGATACTGTACTAACGCACATATAAGCACATGTGCTTATAAGTGAATTTTTGCTACGAATCCAATTTTCGAAAATGAAATATTTTCACCTAAACGCGCATGCGCGATCAGAGTTCGTTTGCGAGAGTCTTTGTGTTTGACTAGGTCTTGTAGTGTCAGTTTCATGGTTCCTGTATGCTGTTTGCAGACTTTTATCCGTGATTGTGTCAAAGTGAGAATTTTGGTAGTGCTTCGCCAACAAGAGCATGCGCTTATAGGGGAGAGTGCGCTTATATACGAATACAGGCACATGCGCCTATATGTGCGCCTATATGTGCGTTACTACGGTAATAGAAATTCAACAAGTGAATCATACCTTCATGCCTTCCCATAGTGGATACTGTAGTACGGAGAATGGAATCTGTGCAGAACAAAACACAGCACCACACCTGGAATATTGCATGGCAAATATGTTGAGATAAGCAGCCGAGGCCTCTGAACAAAGTAGCTCTGGTGAAGAGTCGGACATCACAAGTAACACTGGTTAGACGTTTTCCACATGCACACGTACTACGCATGGGCACACACACACACACACACACGCGCGCGCGCGCGCACACACACACACACACACACACACACACATACACACGCATACAAATGCACATACCTCGAAGTTTTCTACATGCACGCGTACGCATGCGCGCACACACACACACACACACACACACACACACACCTTGAACCTTGAAACTGCCACCTAAAGGTGATGCAGTGCCTCAAAGAGGCAAGGAGGGCAGAGTTACTTCTTGCATTTGTGTTGAGCCAGGTACTGGAGACGTGTGAACTTCCGAGAGCAGGTCGGGCATGGGATGGTGCGGCGCTCAGAGCCAGAGCTGCATGTTCTGCGGTTGGAGTTGCAGTTGTGCCGGCGGTGCCCAGCTTTGCTCCGGAAACAGCGGTCACAGGTGTGGCAGTGGTAATGACATTGGCTGCAATCAGGTGGGCGAGGTGCAACAATCTCTGGAACTGGAGCGTCACCAAGACTGGGAGAGCAGCTGTGCACAGCAAATCCACCTCGGCTAGCAAACCAACGATGGCACGTTTCGCACAACACAGCACCGGCCTGTTCATGGATCGGCTTCAGTCGCTCTTCCCTGCATTTGTGCCGCCGAAGTCCGCTTTCACTGGCGAAGAGTCGCTCACAGATCGCACAACACACTGACTTGGCTGTCGTTTCAAGGCGTAAGCGCCGTGCAACAATAGCATCCGAGATGGACTGGATCCACTCGCCACGTTCAGCTGCGAGGTCGTACCAACCGGTGTATAGACCCAACGCCTTGAGGTCATCGCGTACCACATCACGCCATCGACGCCTGGAGCCATGAGCAGGGCGTGGAGTATGGAGCCACGAGAACAACACTGTCTTTGGAAGCCGGTGGTCGTCCATCCTGGCAATGTGGCCAAGCCACTGCAGCCGTCGACGGGCAACCATGTCAGCAACTGGCTCTGTAGCGCACATGCTATGCAGCGAGGCAGATGACAGGTGGTCCTCCCACTGTTTGGAACGCGAGATGCCGAGAATGACACGAACGCAGCGGTTGTGGAATTGTTCAAGGCGACGTATGTCGGCACGCAACAGTGTCCAGTTCTCAGCCCCGTACAACAGCACCGACAACACACAGCATGTGTACGTGTGTTGTTTCGTCTTGGATGTTAGTGAAGTGTTCCGAAAAACTGACGAGTAGAGGCTGCCGAAGGCCTTAGATGCAGCAGCTATGCGGTTGGACACATCGGTGTGGCATCGTCCGTCTGGTGTTACCACTGAGCCGAGATATGTGAACTGGCTGACATGCTGGATGGCGTTGCCTTGTACGCTTAGCGGGGTACGGTCACTGTCGTTGATCTGATGCCCAACAGCCATGAACACTGTCTTTGCCATGTTGAGAGACAGCCCGAATGCTCCACTGACCTCCGCAAATATCTCAAGCATACGCTGAGCATCCGAGTGGCTGGGTGCAAACAAGGCTGCATCATCAGCAAACTCACCATCTGTGATGACCATATCATTACCACGCTTAGATCTCTTGAAAAGCTGACCATCGGCACAGGTACGGAGTGGAAAACCAGACACTCCACGCTCTTGGACGCGTGCGCACCAACGTTCCATCACTGCACCAGCAAACAAGTTGAAAAGGACTGGTGCCATTGTACACCCTTGGCGCAATCCGTTGCACACTGGGAAGCCTTCAGTGGGGGAACCATTAACGATGATCGTGGCTGTCATGTTGTCGTGAAAAGACTTCAGAAGGCTGACCAGTTGCTCCGGGACTCCCAGCTTCAGCAGGACAATCCACAGTGCAGCACGCGGAACAGAATCGTATGCCTTCCTCAAATCGACAAACACCAGGAATCCCTTGGATTGGTGCTCGTGACACTTCTCCACAACCTGGCGAACAACAAACGTCATGTCCGTGCAGGAGCGACCTTTCCGGAAACCACACTGTGATTCAGGCAGCACACTTTCGGCGACTTTCTGCAATCGGTTTTGCAGCAGGCGTCCGAACAGCTTGCCAATGACGTCGAGGAGTGCGATGCCACGCCAGTTGTCGCAGCTAGTGAGGTCACCCTTCTTGGGTATCGGTATTATCTCAGCATTCACCCAATCTTGCGGTACTACGCCCTCCTCCCAAACCGCGGTAATGAGCTTAAACAGATTGGCATAGAATAGGTCGCAGTTGTATTTGACCATTTCCGGTAGAATGCCGGAGCTTCCAGCAGCTTTCCCGTTCGTAAGATAGCGAAGGCAGCGCTGGGCCTCTTCAGCAGTGGGTGGGGTGGCCAGGTGTTCCATGATGTTGCGCTGCTGGACCAAGTCAATTTCAGATCGGACAAAGCCGCTTGGAAGGTTCAGCACACACACACACACACACACACACACACACACACACACACATACAAATGCACATACCTCTCTTTGCACGGTTGCCATATAGCCACGGTACAGACCACGGAATCCCTGCAAGAATAAAAACAAACATCACGAGTACAAACTAGAAGGCAACCACACACAGGCCACACGATCACGGTAGCGAAGATAACGCCGTCTCTTGTCATCACAATGAATACATGGAGCGGTGCAGACCACAAACAACAGTGGTTGAACACAGGCCAGGCCGAGAACATTGACAGTCAGACCACAGGACCGAGAAAGGCATATTTCACTACTATCCCGCAAATTACTCATGAGTGATAAAGAAGACCAGTAGAACACCATCAGGGAAGGTTTCAAAAGCCACCAATGTGTGGCTACATATTCTAAAATTCCACCCATCCAGTCCACATGAATAACACAACCATGAGGCATGAGGCATGAGGCATGACTGCTTCTACATTTAGGTATGTCAACTACATGTACATGTACGTGCCTGCTGAATATTGACACTTCGTAGAATGTCAACTTACATCCTGAGCCATGACATTTCGCAGGATGCTAACACTAGACATGGCACTGTTGGTTTGTGCGCGTTGCTTGATGACCTCTATGGGCACTCGGATGGCACAGCTAGTCTGCAAACACCAACACCAGTAGTCAACATAACACAGTGTGAGAATGTTGAGATATTACATGTACAGCATAGTGTGATACGGTGTGTGTGTGTGTGTGTGTGTGTGTGTGTGTGTGTGTGTGTGTGTGTGTGTGTGCGCGCGCGCGCGCGGGTGTGTGTGTGTGCGTGTGTGTGTGTGCATGTGTGTGCGCGTGTGTGTGTGTGTGTGTGTGCATGTGTTGTATGTGAGTGTGCGTATGTGTGTGCATATGTGTGTTTACATTGTGCATACACTTGGCAGATAGAATTACAGATGGAGCGGACTCGCTCCCTTCTATTTACACTGCAACGTTCGAACACATTTTCGTAGTTAAAACAACGTTTCGGCATATAGCCCTCATCAGGTTTGCAATGATGTGCACTCTACAAAGGAGCAGCAAATATACTGTGCTGTGCTGTGTTTGCGCCAAATGTGTCAGCTACAAAGGTGGCGAAAGGGATTGGTGATATATTAATATCCAGATAGATTCCAAAGGACCACAAGCAAAATTTGCCCCTCCGACCTGTTGTCTCTGCTTGTGACAGTCCAGTCACAGGAATTTCGGTGGTTCTCGAACGCATATTGCATCAACTGCTTGCATTTGTCCCATCGCACCTCATCAACACCAAAGACGCGCTAGACAATATCCGCACCATATACCCTGGCCTTAAAGCACCTGCTGGAACGATTCTGGCTACGATGGATGTGGTGGGTTTGTATCCCAGCATACCGATCGAAGAGGGCGTGAATGCCGTTAGTGACGTGCTAGAGCAACACTATAACAGAGTTGATATGCTCGGGCTGAGCGTGACCCAAGTCAGGACACTACTGAAGTTTGTTCTGAGTCATAACTACTTCAGATTTGGCAGACAGATCTACCACCAGCTAGATGGGGTTGCTATGGGGAACAACCTGGCACCTCCATTTGCCATCCTGTTTATGCACACCATTGAGACACGACTTCTTCAGGACTCACCCTTCCAACCTATTCTGTTCAGACGATACATCGACGATATCATCATCCTATGGACACATGGCAGGCAGCGCCTTCTGGAGCTCATAGAAAGATTCAACACCAGCCACGAACGTATCAAATTCACGCATGAATTAAGTTGTGACAGTGGCTGCATAGACTACATGGACGTAACGATCGTGGTTGGGCAAACCGGAGAGCTGTCATTCAAATTGTTCCAGAAGGCATGCAGTAGTGGCCTACTGGTGGATTATTCATCGGCAGTTCCTCACCACATCAAGTTAGCCGTCGCTCAATCTCAATTCCTAAGGGCACAGCGACTATCGTCTAACCCCATGATGCAAGCCGAGAGCGAACAAAAAATACACAAACAACTGCGCATAAATAACTACCCAGACAGTATCATATCGGAAGCAAGGGAAGCTGCCAGGAAACCTCGGCGTAGACGACGCGGTAATCCCCGCTCTGCCTTCCTTAAACTACCGTTCAAGTCCGATGAAGTACACCACCATGTGAACAAAGCAATACGGAAATACAAGTTGCCGGTACGTGTCGTATACGAGCACTCGGGCAGCCTCAGGCGTCAACTGTGCCGTTCGGCGCTGTTACCACCCAAGTGCGTAAACGAGCCCAACATTACTGAAAAAAGACGAAGAGGACGTCCACTAGGGCCTTGCATTACCTGTCAGTCTGGAGGCGAACGAGTATGTATGACAAAGAATGTAGTCTACGAATTGCAATGCAAATGGTGCCGGGAAACGTATGTAGGGGAGACGGAACGCTCCTTGGAAACAAGAATTCGGGAGCACAATGGCGAGGCACGCCGTCGCACTCTCGATAAGCCATGGGGTGACCACGTGCGCGACAAACATTCCGGCGAGAGTATAGCTGCTGCGGATAGTGTGTTCTCGGCTGTGTCAGTCCTGGCAAGGGCAGGCGACAGAGCAAGCAGAAAACTGCGAGAAGCTGTTGAAATCCGCAACTTGCGGCCGCAAGTAAACACTAATGCTGGCTGGGCACTACTGTGAATATATCGTATCTGGATATTAATATATCACCAATCCCTTTCGCCACCTTTGTAGCTGACACATTTGGCGCAAACACAGCACAGCACAGTATATTTGCTGCTCCTTTGTAGAGTGCACATCATTGCAAACCTGATGAGGGCTATATGCCGAAACGTTGTTTTAACTACGAAAATGTGTTCGAACGTTGCAGTGTAAATAGAAGGGAGCGAGTCCGCTCCATCTGTAATTCTGTATGAAACTGCAGGAGGCCTCACCGCTTCTAATCACTTGGCAGATATCCTAGTAATAACAACAACGCACTCACAACTTCGCCAACACAAGCAGCAGACATGTGCACCAGTGGCAAGTAGCGTTCTCCTGCTCTTGGCTCACATAATGATTTGAATGATTCGTAGCTGAAGAAAAACACGGCAGCTGCCATAACATACACACATGTGCACACGCATACACACACACACACACACACACACACACACACACACACACACACACACACACGCAAACACACACATACACACACCCACGCACACACGCACACACACACACGCGCACCGGTGTAAAACAACGTTCCAAGATACATTACATTGCACACATTCTTCGGTTCAGGATTGGGTCTTCTTCATTGTAAAAATAATTAAAAAAAATTTTTTTAAACAAATAAATACTACGGGCAATGTCACGAACCTCCTGGTGCTGATCCTAGAGCGACTGGACCCAGGCCTGCGTAGACACCGTTGAAGCCACCGGCTGCCTTGAAACCTTGCTTTGACTGCATACGTGTCTTGATTGTGTCAAGTGGGAAGAGGGTGACATCCACAGCAGTGCCGGCACACCCACCGCTCTATACATGCAAACAAGAGCAGAAGCAGCAGCAGCAGCAATAGCAGAAATACATCACAAAATGTATTAACACAAAGACTTCAATAGAGAAAAGCAGCGAAAACAAAACCACATGGCATGCACGCATACAGAGAAAGTTAAGTACACTAATACCTCGTTTACCCGGGTAGTCCAGGACCGGGCACTGCCCGTAACTTGAAATGTCCATAGCTCCGAATCGTATAACTATACGCCTTGCTGATGACTCACATAAGCTGAGTGGGTTGTTTTCAGGGAGTGCTTGTACTTGTACTACTCCACTGCTCGCTAAAAACAGGCCGGGGAAGCTCTGATGAAGTCACGAAAACGTGCAAATGTACCGATCATCTTTTGCATTTGTTTCCAACGTATTGGTGTCATGAGTTGCAGAATAGCCCACAGAGCATCCAAGACTGACGGGTTAGCAATTGGTATGCTGACTTAAAATTGCCCGACTTGAAGAGACTACAAGAATGGCGAACGGATCTGATCTTTAGCCTATAATTTAGGATATTTTAGGACACGCCTTGGTTTAATTGTTTTGCAAAAGTCTGGGTGTCGGTACGGGCGATCATGGGCGTGCACGGTTCACATACCACTGTTGCTCAAAATTGTACAGGATCGTTGCCAGGGCAAGCCGCAAAGTTGGACCAACTTTGCCAGCCCTCACCGCCGATGATTTACCGTATGATTTTGGTACGCATTGCAACGGTTCACATAAGCGCCATCCGCCGGCAGAGGTTGCAAGAGGCACTCCTGGCCCCGGTCCTGGCACTTACCGGCAATATGTGAACCGACCTTAAGATTTCCATTCAATTCGGTAATCTTTTTAAAAATTTCACTGCATCAGTTGAAACCCTGCCATGATGCTCTTCGGACCTCTTCAGCTGCAATATCTTGTTTTGCAATATATAGCAATATGCAATGTGGCCTAGTTCGGATCACGTTTGGTCTCGTGTGACTCAACCAAGCAATGCAAGCATACAGATACATTCACCACTAGTAAAACGTCACAGTGGTACTATACCGTGCAACTTCGAAGGTCAAAGTTCTGCACCATGATGCTATGCATTGTTAGCAGTGTTTATACAATTTAATTACAGTGCAATTTAAAAGTCGAAGCAGAGTAGTAAAAGGACTTACCACAAAAACGTTCAGATCGAAAGTCATTTTCCTCGAAATTCGGAATTCGGTGATCAGGACGTAGAAATCGGAGTGCGACGAGGCTCATAAAAAGCAAGTTGCAAATGCTTTCATTTGAAAGCAACCCTAATTTACTAGCTTTACTAGCGATACAACCACTACACTGAATGTCCAAATTATTAAATTAATTTGCAATTTCAAGACAAGTATGTGCATAATGTTTGGCTTGTGTCACGCGCTCACGTGACTGATAGATCTTGATGCACAAAATCCGTTTCTATTTTTTGCTTTTTTGGGCGAGATGTGTGGCATCTCAGACTGCGACATCTGACGCTCTGAGTCTGAGCTGAAACCATTCACCGCATCGCCTGTATCAGGTCAGGTAAAGTGATCAGTCAGTTCTAGCATCCGACTCCAGCTCCGTGTCCGAGTCAAAGTAACGTTAGTTACAGTGTGATTTGTTTTTCTCCTTTGACTCGAGTTTGAGTGATAGAGTTTTCTCTTCCACTGCCTGTTCCCGAAGGGTACATCATCCTGGAGGAAGTGGGGCAGTGTATTTCCCCAACAAGATTTCAGGAGAGGATTTTGTGATGGCGAGAAGAAGCTGAAGCCTCTGCTATTACGCAACTGATTATGCCGTCTGTTCAGTCCAAGTTATGGCAGTATGGCGCAGGCGGTGCAGCCCTGGCCGGAGGTGCCTACCTCGGTTTGAAGTTGTCAGGTTTGGACAAACTTATTGCCAAACAGCTTCGGCGACGTAAGGAGGGGCCCACCGACCAGGAGCTAGTTGCTGAGCTACCTGGACTGCATGAACATGGCGTTGGAGGAAAGCGCAATGTGCCATCTCTCAATCGGGAGTTTCTGGTACGTTTGCGTAAATTGCTGTCGATCGTTTTCACCGGTCCATTCTGCAAGCAGTCAGTGATCTTGTTCCTGCACACATGCACGCTAGTTGTTCGGACGTTCTTGTCGATCTACATTGCCAATTTGGACGGCTCCATCGTCAAAGCCATTGTGGAAAGGAGACCCGATGTTTTTATCATGGCGATCTTGAAATGGCTGCTTGTAGCATTGCCTGCGACTTTCATCAACAGTGCCATCCGGTACTTGGAGAGTTCACTGGCGCTGTCTATCCGGACTAAGATGGTGAATCACGCCTACAACGAGTACTTCAAGGACCAGGCCTACTACCGCGTGTCCAACCTGGATGCGCGTTTGGCAAACGTCGACCAATCGCTGACGGACGACCTGCGCTCGTTCTCTACTACTGTGGCACACGTGTACAGCAATGTGAGCAAACCGCTGCTTGACTTGCTGTTCATGAACTACACGCTGTATCACATGGCATCGTCGGCCCAGGCCAATATGTCGCTAAGCTCCATGATTGGCGTGGCAACGTTCCTCTGTACGGGCGGCATCCTGCGTTTGTGCGCTCCGTCGTTCGGCAAGCTAGTCGCAGAGGAAGCACACCGCAATGGCTACTTGCGCTATGTGAACTCTCGTGTGGTCAGCAACAGTGAAGAGATTGCCTTCTATGGCGGGCATACCGTACGTCCAGCATTGTTGGATTTGGACACTGTGGTGTTGATTCCCTCTCTCTCTCTCTCTCTCTCTCTCTCTCTCTCTCTCTCTCTCTCTCTCTCTCTCTCTCTCTCTCTCTCTCTCTCTCTCTCTCTCTCTCTCTCTCTCTCTCTCTCTCTCTCTCTCTCTCTCTCTCTCTCTCTCTCTCTCTCTCTCACACACACACACACACACACACACACACACACACACACACACACACACACACACACACACACACACACACACTCACGCACACCACACACACACACTCACTCACTCACTCACACACTCACTCACTCTCACACACACTCTCTTTCTCCTTCTCTTTTTCTCTTTATCTCATGGGTGTGGTGTGTGGCTGCTGTGTTCGTTGGAAACAGGGCTATGCGTAGTGTCAAGAGTACATAACCCCCAAGAGTGTGCAACTGCCTGCACAACCTCTATGCTGTGCTGCGACGGCAGAACTTCACATCACGTGACATGGTTCAAAAGGTTATGCTGGCAAACAGTGCAAAGTGACCACAAGAGAGTTGTACCCAAAGTTGGGATGCGTACAACCCAGTATCTATCATGCACTAGAGTGCACGGGTTCATCACGTGATGTGAAGTTCTGCCGTCGCAGACCCCATAGCTGGAGTTGCACACTCTTGGGGTTATGTACTCTTGGTAGTGTGCAGAAACCCAATGCAAAGTGGCATGGCTACCAGCAAGAGTACATGATTGTGCAACTGCCTGCAAAGCCTCTATCAGTGCCTCTATCTGTGCTGTGACGGCAGAACTTCACATCACGTGACATGGTTCAAAAGATTACTCTGGCAAACAGGGCGAAGTGACCACAAGAGAGTTGAACCCAAAGCAGGGTTGCGTACAACCCTGCATCTAGCATGCGCAGGGTGCAAATAATGTGTACTTTTTCGCCACGTGATGTGAAGTTCTTCCGCCGCAGCGCAGACCCCATAGCTGGACTTGCACACTCTTGGGGGATATGTACTCTTGTTACCTGGGGGGGGGGGGTACAAGTAAACCCGTCACATGCTCAGGAAACCGCTATAAATATTAGGTTAACGTGTGTAGCAATGTCGTTACTAGGACTGTCATGTTTATCACCAACCACTACACCATAACTGAGCTCTCCAGCCTTTATTTAATGACTGTCATGTGACAGACGTATTCCATCATCACTATTGCATTGCCTTCTGTCATGTGTGTCACAGGTAGAGCGTACACTCATCCAGAAGGCGTATCAAGCTCTTGCCCGGCAAATGCAGATGATCTTTAACAAGAGACTTTGGTATATTATGCTGGAGCAGTTCCTCATGAAGTACGTGTGGAGCGCGGCGGGTCTCTTCATGGTTGCCATACCGATCATGTCCGCCACCAAGAAGCCCAACGCCGCTCGCATTGAGCACGCACCAGAGGAGACCTCGGCAACGGGACCTTCAGTTGTTGTGTACGAGCAGAGCAGCAGCGATGCCGACAGCGGTGAAGTCACTGTCAGCGACCGCACACATGCCTACACCATGGCCAGAAACTTGCTGGTCTCAGCTGCAGATGCCCTGGAACGAATGCTGGCTTCCTACAAAGATGTGAGTTATCAATATGTTGATGAGAGGAGGTCAGAGAACTGCCCTCTGCGACTCAGATCTGCCTTCTAGTAGTAAAGTACCGGAATATAATATGGTAGCTAGCTATGAATAAAATGATATTCCATGTCAACTGTTCAGAATCTATGGATTGTCATTTTTTCTGATATGTGTTGCTATCTAGCTGTCTGGGTCATCTTACCACTGGGTGTGTGTGTTTGTGCATGGTATATATGTGTGTGTGTGTGGGTGGGTGGGTGGGTGGGTGTATGTGTGCATGTGTGTGTGCGTGGGTGGGTGTGCTCCACGTTGTATGTGTTGCAGATCACAGAGTTGGCTGGCTACACGTCGCGTGTATCTAGAATGTTTGATGTATTTGAGGAGGTGAAGAAGGGCAACTACCAGCGCACTACAGTCACAGCTAACTCACAGGTATGGCACTCATCAGTGTGTCCCGGTGAAAATACACATCTCTTTCAACTCTTTCTCCTCACATCTGTTTTCGTTGTATTGGAATTTATTGTGTGTCAGAGAGAACAAGCTGTCCCTTTCCTTGGTTTGCACATTTTACGTTCATGTTTGTACTGTACTTCCGAGCACAACTTATTGTGCTTACATGCGGAAAGTCACTATTTTTGGCAGAATCTAGAGGTCATTTTTGCTGACGTGTGGGTGTACATAATATAGCCCTGTATGGATGCGACGGCCAGTCTTTCTGCACTTTCATGTGTGCTGGTACGGTCTGCATGTCCGTTCCTTGCCAGACTTGGTTGAACAGTGATTCTGGCATCGATTATCAATGCCAGCGTGTCAACTGGCGAGTTACACAATAATTATATGTGTGCCCGGTACTTGGTGAATTTGAGTGATTGTTTTTGTTCATACATGTATGTTGGCACATGTGCTTACAGGGTGTGCTTACGTCTGCATCTTTGATAAGCATGTGTGCATTTGTGCACCAAATCACTGTTGAAATGCAAGCACCGACCTATACAGTCGTGAATATCTGGTGTGTATGACCTTACTCAAGTCTGTGGTTTCTTGTGATTTCCGCTGTGGCTCTATCTGCAGGGTGACAAGAAATGGGTCCCCAGCGACTCCAGGTAAGAACTTTTTCAACACATTGTTTTCTCTTTGGCCGGTTTGCTATGATCTGTGGAGCAGTTTGCTATCATAGTGGTACCGCTGGACACAAGTGGGAAAGCAAGATTCTTGATACAGGGGGGGGGGGGGGGGCTGTACTCTGGTGAATCATCATACATTGTAGTTAGAAGTGACTGCCTGAAGTATTTCTCTCGTGCATGTTTTGTGTGTGTTACTCCAGTCCCTGACTAACAGTTGCAATAACCCGTTGTGTTATGCTCTCTTTTTGTCTTGTGTGAGCAGGAACAGCCACCAGGTCGTGCACCTTGGTCGTGTGGAGAGTGCGTGCGGTATTGTGGAGGAGTGTGTGGACCGTCTCAGTCTGGAGGCGGTGCCAGTGGTCACTCCCAACTACGATGTCGTCGTTGAGAAGCTGTCTATTGAAGTAAGCGAGTGTTCACAGTTTTGTTGCTGCTGATTCCCGGCGGTTAAGTTGGGACAAGATAGTTCAATCCTACTAGTATTAGCATTGTTATGAAGTGTTTGGGGGGTGGTCGGAGAAACCGAAACGGTTCGGCGAGCATGTTTCCTATGCTGCATTGTATGTCTAGTTTTCACTTCCATTGCGGCAGCTGCTACCCTCCTCGGACCATGACATGTGTCGTGATACCCATCCATTGTACTTTCAGCGGGAGAACACTTTGCTCTTGCTGCACTCCCAGTGACAAGCTACACGTGCTGACTTCCAACGCCTTCCCCATGCTGGAACGAGTTTGTGTGTCTGTGTGCACGGTGTTTGCTGCAGATCAAGCCTGGCATGCATCTTCTCATTAGTGGGCCAAACGGCTGTGGCAAAAGTTCTCTTCTCCGAATTCTCTGTGGCTTGTGGCCTGTGTATCGTGGTCGTTTGATCAAGCCGCCAACACGTCACATGTTCTATATCCCTCAAAAGTAAGGAAATAGGTAATGATTGTCTTGCAGCTGTATTTTATTTGGTGGGTGAGCCGGGGGGACACATGCAATTGTGTGATAGTTCAGAGCGCAGAAAAATGTAGCTTTGGCACATGTGATTAATTTTGTGTGCTTGCCACAGCCTGTCTTGTGAAATTTCGAATTTGTGTAGCTTTTAGAAATAACTCGGATACTGAGCCAAAAATATAATTAAAATAGAAGAAATCAACTGGAAACGAGTTATGAAGCCTATTATCGCACTTTCTGACTGCTTATTATCTTGTTTACAGTTGTGGATAGTTGCTTCATAACTCCTTTGAAGTCCTTTCCATGTGATTTTTTTCTATTTTAGAAAGTTGCCTAACTTCATTTTCAGTATTGTCATCCTTACACTGGTTACAGACCCGGTACACACAATGATGGGTGTCACCGTGTGTGCACCTGTACTGTTTTTGATCAGTAAATCACCAAGAGTACATAGCCCCCCAGAGTGTGCAACTCCCACATACCCTGCAGTCCCGGCAGAATTTCAAATTGACGTCATTATTTATGATGCGATGCTCCTTGTACGAATGACTTACAACATGTGCGGGCGGGTGTCAACGCATCACACCTTTTTCTTTGCAATAATTTGTACAGGATCAGATAGGCTTTGGTCCACCACAGGTTCCGAAATTGTCTGATAATCCGTGTACATTGCGTGCATTGCATCATAAAAAATGACGTCAACTTGAAATTCTGTCGGGACAGCACCCTTAGTCGAGTTGCACAGTCCGGGGGGGGGGGTATGTAATCTTGAAATCACCCATTGCCATTTTCATCCGGCTAAACGTATATGGTTGACGTCACAGTGACACTGCACACATGGTCTAGTGCCGTTTACTCACTGAATGCTATTGGGTTTGTTTTCCAACGCTTGCTGTGCTGTGCTGTTCTATATTGTTTCTATCATTGCCAGGCCATACATGACCCTGGGATCGCTGCGTAGTCAGGTGATTTATCCAGATACCCGGGACGAAATGATCAGCAAGGGGGTGACAGACCAGGATCTGATGAACATCCTTGATACAGTCCATCTCCAGCACATTGTTCAGAGAGAAGGTGGTAAGTGTGGTCTCCGCGCCGTATGGCAGTAATTATTATGCTCTAGTTGAAGGATACGGTGCAGCCGAATGAAGTTGTGTGGACTTGGAAAAACCATGATGCTGTGTAGTAGTGATTTGTTTCTCTCTGGCCTACTCCTTGGTGCTTTGTGTGGTGTGTGACCGTCCTCGCCATTGCGGATATGATGACCTGTTCATGTGTTCGGGATGCTTTGTGCTCTGTGCTGTGCAGGCTGGGATGCCATCAATGACTGGCAAGACCTGCTGTCGGGTGGTGAGAAGCAGCGCCTGGGCATGGCTCGCCTCTTCTATCACAAGTGAGTTCGTGTACTTGTACAATGATTGTGATAGTACCATGCTCTCTCTCTCTCTCTCTCTCTCTCTCTCTCTCTCTCTCTCTCTCTCTCTCTCTCTCTCTCTCTCTCTCTCTCTCTCTCTCTCTCTCTCTCTCTCTACGTGTGCTTCTTAAATAAAGTGGATGTCTCTTTGTTCCTTCCGCCAGGCTACTATTGCCGGAAACATGTGCTATGTGCTGATGCTGGTAGTGTACTGAACGGCACCATCCACTCCCTTGATTGTTTTCTTGCTACAGGCCTCGGTTTGGTTTGCTTGATGAGTGCACCAGCGCTGTCAGCATGGACGTCGAAGGTGCCATGTACCAGGCTCTCAAGGACAGAGGCACCACTCTTATTACCATCACGCACAGACCATCTCTTTGGTAAGGCTTCCGGTCATCAGGGGTGTGTGCCCGTGTACAGTAATGCATGGAGCTTTTTTTGGCGTTTTCGAAGACTTGCATGGGCTGGCAGTGAGAAACTTACGAGATTTCTGTTCCCTTCAGTTGGATCGCGTCGTCACGGTCCACAATCCATAAGGCAATGTGTGATGGTTTTAGCCCCATGGATGTGTGTTCACTAGCGATTTTTTTTATCTCTCGCGAAGGTTTCCTGCTTTACCATAAGGGAGGTTTCGCTCTACGGAATTACGTATGAAAATGACTTAGGAACTGCATGGAATTTTCATACGTAAAAATCAGAGCTGTTGGGTTTCGCTCTACGTGATTTCTCCACGACTGCTAAACATGCGTTGTTGCTTTGGAGACGCGTTGGCTGCATGCGCCCACCGCATGCAGCACGAACATAAACCGCGTTTTCCATTTTATTTTGCACGTGGTGTACGGTGTGTGTACCTTGTGTTTCGCGCGGCTTGAACGTTGCCATGGACAAATCCGGAAAATGCGAAAAATATTTCAAAAAGTCCTACAGAGGACCCAACGTAGGAAGCAGCTTTCCTACGGAAATCCGTAGAGAGATTTACGTATGAAAGTTGCCCTCGCTCCCCGGCGCGTACGACATACGGATTTTCATACGTAATTACGTAGAGCGAAACCTCCCTAAAGTTGGTATGTGACTGGTGTTGATGAGGTGAGTTATGCATTCTCGTCTGGTAAGTAAATCCTATACTTTCCTCCGGCTGGCTTGTCAGTTGCTGTAGTTTTAACACATCATCCACCTGTCCATGGTGTGAGCGTTTGAACTATCTGTGTCTTCTGCTGCTGTCGTTGTTTGTGATTGCTAGGCGATTCCACACTCACTTGCTTCAGTTTGACGGCGAAGGCCACTGGCGCCTGGAAGCGCTGGACTCATCGGCCCGACTTTCACTGCGTGAGGAGAAGGAGCAGCTCGAAGCACAGCTCAGCGGACTGCCCACCATGCAGAAGAGATTGCGTGAGCTGTGCACACTGCTTGGTGAAGATTCGGTGCTGGCCAACAGCTCTGGGCAATCCACGCCAACGTGTACGAGTCCCACCGGTGTAGCCGCAACTGCTGGAGCTGCGGTCGCTGCAAACGGCGGTCCATCTCCCAGTGCTGATGCAAAGACCACATCCGCCAAGGCTGCTAAGGCACCCAAATCACAACCCAGACAACGATAGTGTGTCATTGATATACACACTAGTCTGAGGAACATCGAACGGACTGCTAAGGTGCACGCCTGTAAGCGACAGAGCATCATCAACTTTTCCAATTTAGTTTTGTTCTTTATCACCGTGTACAGACCGTATGTACAAATTATCCAGATCATTGGAATTCAGCGTAGCAACCCTTCCTGGTCAGTTCCTCTCTTCTTTTTCAACTCAGTCTCTTTTTACTAGTTGTTAGAGCTCTTGCTTCTGTTTCCTTTAGCTTTGTACAGCACTCTAGACCTCATTGGATTTGACTGTATGCTACTGAAGAATATAGGCTATTTAATCAACAATGGAGACATTTGGATTTTTTGAATTCTTCCTTATCATAGTTGATTATTATGTTTCCTATCAAGTGCCATACCCATGGCACTGTATTACAACGTATCTTTCCTAGTCTGGTGATAACGTTAGCATTGTAATGTGCACATGTTATCCTTATTAATTTGTGTATAGTGATGTCGCACATGTCCATGGGCATGTGTGCGTGTAGGATGACAGTTGTCAGGTTATGCTCGCCGTGTAGCAGTCAGGTATGCATGTCTTGCACGAGCAGTAGGCCCAGATGTCCTCTGATTTGCGTTTCTACTGTGCCGCCCCCAGGCGGTGTTTGTCGGAATGACAACGGTTTTCCTGCTTGTTGCACATAGGCACTGTCTTGCTTGAGTAAGGATGTATGCCCTCCAGCTGTTGCAATTTTGCATACAAATTCAGGAAGTGGTGCAGCTCACGCTGTGGCAAACCTGCATATAAAGGTGCACGTAGGTATTTGCAGCACGACTTGTACTGTATACCAGCGTAATCTCAGTAAGTCCTGCCAAGAGACATGAAACCCGAAAGTCACTATTAGATGGCTCATAAAGGCACATTTGTCTGGGGCGAAGTCGGGGATTCGCCCCATATGTTGCATTTAGCATGGCAAGACAATATTGGAAAGTGGAAAAATGGGATACGGGGTAACTGTTTCCCATGTCCGCCCCCTACTATTTTTACCTGGCTAGAACCCTGCATTGGGATTACATACAACTTCTGCAATGAACCCTTACTATTTATAGCAATATAACCAATATTATTACCAAGACTACGTGGTGTAGCCAAGGACTGTTCGTGTGTTGCGAGTTGGGTGTACTGAAAATATGATAGGAGCTTCAAAGTTCTTAAAAAAACCTACATCATTAGAGGATAGCGATAAAAAGGACCAACCGAGTCGACATTAATTTCATTACGGCTTTATACATGTAGTACATGTACCGGTGCATGGAAAACATGTGATGAACAAAGAGGAAAATGTGACTACAATCTGGCAGAAATTGGAGGACGATAATAAAAATGAAAAACACTTCACACTAGTTTTCGTACAACTCCCATCAGGAAGAAACATTGTACTGGAGACACCAATGTGACAAGGGGACAAATAATTCTTGACGCCTCGGCACATAATTACTCCTGGGATTACTAGCACTTGATGGTTTCCGTAGTTCACTGTTTCATGGCATGTTTTTTTCACGACATGTGCCGTTTGTGTTGGTAGAGGTACATTGTACATGACATTGACAACGTACATGTATGTGATGCAGGCCGTTTAGCACTCTTTGACAGGTAAACACTACTACATGATCAAGTAACATTAGTTGCAAAAGTCCAATGGCCGGGGTCAACGTGTAATGGCATAAATTATTATTATTTTTTGTGTTACCATGATTCCACTATCGCTATGGATCTCATTGACTGACTGTACTCGTACTGGCAATAACAACCGCTACTCATGCAGTCGTACTTTAATAGTCTTTGTGCTTGGTGTCATCGACAATAATTACCGGTATGTAGATCGACCACATACATATTCTTATCTTCCAGATAACCATGATAACGAACGTCACGGGCCGAGGAACAAAAAGGCAACTAATTACTTACTGTGTGGTGCAAACAGGATGTCGCGATGTACTAAGCTGTAAGCAGTTGAACGCGGTAAATGCCTCAACCTAGAACTACTACTAGGCCACAATTAAATTATTTGGACGAAATTACTTTGCTCTTTCACTTGCCAGTTCCTGCAGCTTGGTCTGGGCTTAGCGCTAGGCGCCCTGGCACAGATCTTTGGTGTGCCCAGGGTGACTGGGGATATCACGCTGAACCACGCAGATGCAGGGTTTTTTTTAGTTGGTTTCCCTCCACCGTAGCTGATCTGCTGACTGACTAACTGTAGTGTAGAGTGTAGTGTCGACATGTCGACAGTGGCTACTTACTGCGCGTGCCACCAATGAAGTCCACTACATGCAAGTCATAAAAAAGTCAGAAAAGTAAAGCATTATTACCTGTACAGTCTGTAGGCTGTAGCACCATGCCAAGGTATCAGATATCACATGTCACAGATCAGAACTCAGTCTCAGCCTCAGCAGGCCTAGCTAGCATGCGGCGGGCGGTGATTAGGCCACATGAGGAAGATCTATCGAAGCAGGCCACATGTTCCGCTGATTCAGTGATCATGGTGATTGTCAACAGCCCCGATGCTAGCCACACACTGAGTCTGTATGAACAGTCATGCGGTGCACAGCGTGCAGCGCTGCTACACGGTGTCTGACGGTAGATCTACACAGCAGTCAGGCCCTAGCACAGGCAGTGGCTGATAATGCCTGGAATATCATCGTCTTCTGAGATACATTTCTGTGGACGGAAAAGGCTTTATTCTGAGACTTTTTGTTCAATTTCCTTAGTTCTCCACTGTGGACCAACACACGTACACGGTGATAATGATTCGTGGATCTGGCAAGTGGCAGGAGTTGGGAAGTCCAAGATAACTGATTCCTAGTCCAAGTAGTATTGTAACAGATTCTTGTTGGCAGTGGATAGTACCATTTGTGGAGTGTTAGCTCAAATATCTGCTAAGTGCTGTGCATGCAGCAGAGTCCAGCGATAGTTTTTGGCGTGTGGCCGCGTAAGGTTTCCTTCTTTCTCCCTTTCTGGCCACCAGCTGCACGGCCTGATGCTGAGGCGAGCTGAGCTTGAAAGATGGCCGGTATAGGTGAGTCTGTAATAGCAACTAGTGCTGCTGGCAGCGCTGATGCTGACATCCGCAGCCACGGCGGCTTGCAAGCAGCAACGCGCGGCAATGGGGCCGTGCTACAGGACAACAATGCATCGACAGAGGGAAGGATGAGATCGTCGAGCCTTCCTGGTCTGCAAACGTCTGCTGCTGCTGTTCAGGGCAAGAAGAAAACCTTTATGTCCAGCCTGCGGCGCAAGTTTTCTCGAAACTCTCTGAAGAGGCACCGTCTTGCCGGCTCTCCTACCAACGACGGATTTACAGTGCCTGCTCTTGCGATGGCTAATGGCGTAGAAAATCATCAACAACAACAGCAGCCGAAACAACAACAGCAGCTAACGCAGAATCCTAGTATCGAGATGAGTTCAGGAGAAAACCCATGCGTTGGCGTTCCTGCTGCGCCTGGTGCTGCTCCAGAGGACGGTGGCAGTGGCGCAGCTAATGATGGTGACACGATCAATGACCGCTCAGCAGGTGTAATGTGTACGGCTAGCGATTCTGCTATTGTCGATGCAGGCAGAGAGGATAGGCCACCACTGGCTGCACCAAAGCCTGCCTCCATGCTGCCATCTCGCCTGGAGCTGGGACCAAAGCCTCCCAGTGTGCAGAGCAGGCCCACATGCACAGCAGCCATGACCAGCACCACCACCACGGTGGCAAGTGACTCCAGCCGACGGAGACACACGCCTGCTGCCGGCGGTGGTGTGTACGCTGCTCTACCGAGCGCCGAGGACAATGTCTATGAGAACACCGAGGCACTTGTGAACGCGTTTGGTCCGATGAGAGACATAGGCGAGTGGTACTCCGTGTACCACCAGTATCAACGCCAGAGACGCAGCTCGCAGTGGGAGAGCACAGTTGAATCAACTTCCGAGTACGCACACCCCGATGAGCCTGCAGCGTTCAGTCTTCCCGGCCAGCTCAGCTTAGAAGGACCCGCCGCGCAACCAGCTGCGTTCAATATACCCAATCGCCATGGCATACGGTTGATGAACACCGCACCGAATGCTAGACAGGATGATGGCGTTTACGAAACACTGCCCCCGTCAAGCGGCGAGGGCATGAGTGCGGAAGCGTCTCTCAGCAACAATGTACGCGAGCTAGCGCAGTACAGCTGGTACTGGGGTCCAGTGAGTCGGCAAGAGGCGGAAGGTCTGCTGAGAGGTCAGAAGGATGGTACGTTTCTGGTTAGAGACAGCTCGGACGACCGCTATCTGATCAGTCTGACATTTCGCTCACAGGGTCGCACCCTGCACACGCGCATCGAGCACCATCTTGGCAGGTTCAGTTTTTATCCATTCAACACGGGTAACTATGACGATGGAGTCAGTTCCGTAGTTGAGCTTGTCGAACGCTCAATGGTTGACTCGCGCGACGGTGCCTTCTGCTTCTCCCGTCAGCGGTATCCAGACGCCCCATCGATCCCAGTGCGGCTGACTGCACCGTACTCACGCCGCTGTGTTGTGCGTAGTCTGCAGCACATATGCCGATTCGTCATTCGCCAGCACACTCGATACGACCACCTCACGGAGCTTCCTGTACCCAACATGGTCAAGCAGTATCTGAGGGAGAACCGGTTCTGACCCGTGTGCCAGCCAGTCACCAGGAGATGTAAGTTATTCGTGCAGCTGGCAAGTCCGATCGGGCTACACGGCAGCATGGGCCCATGTGCAATGTCCAGTGCTACTTGTAGTCCAGGGCTGACCTGGCTAGCGTCATTGGTAATTTCCTGTAGACTTGATCCTGTGCCACGGCACAGTTGCACTAAGCTGCGAGTAACATTATACCTGATCACGAGCACGTTGGTCCAGGAAGCAGTACAGGCTCTGTGTGCGCACAGGAGATGGCTACCCTCCTCGGCACAGTATCTTTGTTCCGCACCCACCATGGCTGATCAGGTACCTTGGTCCAGTGTATGCTTTCACTTGGGTTTGCTCTGCTGACGCGCGGATTTCTCTATTCTGTGAACCTATGCTTGCTGCGCTTGGTCGATTGATTCGCGACACAATGGCACGGTTGTCATAGTGGCATGTTTGAATGACGTACTCCTTCTAACCGTTGATTATCCGCTGCCACACCGCCGCAACCCCCGCTGCTGCTTGCTTTGCTGTATTGGTTACAGCTGTACCACTGAGTAACCAGTTGAGTTTTCTTTTGTAGCACTTTGAACACCGCCGCTCCGATAATTGCAACATGGCCGTCTCTACCTTACACCAGTATTCCATTTTGGCCTGCTGTCACAGAATCAGACCCGATATCACTTTGTTGACACACCCTCAACCGCCCAATGCTTCTGCTGCTGCCCTGGATGGCGTAGCTCCTGGTTTCCGACTTGCACTGCTAGCAACTTGTGACACTGCCCATATAGATTGAATCCAGTTCCTTTCTGACTTATCCTATTGGTCATTTTTACCACATATTTTTTCTCTTTTCCTCTTGATTTAATGTGTTTGCCAGTTTCCCCCTCTAAAACAACGTGCTTGGGCAATCGCAGCAGCCCACCGGTGCTGCACCTGCCGGGGTCAACCTGCAGGTTTCCAGAGGCTGCAGTGCTGTTATTTACTGTAAGGAAAAGAGTCTATTGAATCTATCAGTTTTGCTGCTCCATGATATTCCGATTAGCAATAAAGTGACAATCAATCCGCGGCCGACCATGTCTGAGATGCCAGTCACAGTCTGGTTGCGTTCACTGTGTCACAGTGTACGTGTACGTTGATGGCGGCATATCGGATAATCCGCATTGCCAGTGTGTGGTGCCATTGTTCACGGTATCGCCTCAGTGGCTGAGCCAGCCACTGAGGCAATACCACAAGTTATGTGCTCATGTGCCTTCAAGCGGCCGCAGTTGTTCAGTGTTGAGCGGATCCGTGGCCTTGTTGGGCTCAGACCTTTGCCGGACCGTCCTAGTCCGGCTATACCTTCAACCGGTCCGGCAAGTGAGTACCAGTATGTGAGTTGTGTGTCTTGAGCTGGGACTGCAGTGCTGTTTGTGTGAGGCTAGTTGCTATAGACTATTATGAGTGGGTAGCGCTGTGCAATATGTGTGCCTACAGACACGTCGACAAATACTAACTAGTCAAGCTTGAAATTGAACTACACTGTATGCATACAAGTATGCACTCCACATTAATTCGCTTTTTTTTGTTGCCAGTCCGATGCTCTGCCACTTGTACGTGCACATGCGGCCCAGTGTGAACGCCGTTGCGCCCCCCCCCCCCCCCCTTGCCAATGCAGACTGGCTAACCGGATTTTGGATCAGTCGATCTTGATTCACCAGGGACCTGGGTTACACATGTGCATGTACAGTCATGTACTTATGAAAAAACAATGCCAAAATATAAGGGCAGAAACGACCACCACGCCGTCCACGGAAATGATTGCCAATACACGTACACCTATTACAGTGTACTTGAAACTGTAGTTACAAAGCGGGTGGTTTGGCCCAGCTACAAATAACTGGAGAAACGTAACTACTACACAATCAGGTGTATTACATGACTGGTCTGGCATCTCGACCAGGACTTCCAAAATCCAGGCTTTATTTGTCAGAGTCGTATTTATACGACTCCCAGTGCCCCATATTTCATGATGACAGATGAAGTACTAATAATCTCGGCTGTCGGATCGCGGACTCGGAGTCGGGGACTCGGGCCGTCGGGGTCCGCTCGGTCTCGCCAGCGACATGTCGCGGAGTCGAGTACGACGCGTGCATGCAGCTAGCGTGCGTTGGGATGCAGTCGTCAAGGGAACAAGTGGGTGTGAAGGAGAAAATGGCGACCAGCGGCGACTGCGAAAAAGGCAGGGTCGCGGAGCTGACCACGTCAGACTTCTGAAAGGTGACTTGTTTTTTCGCTGGACCGAGGTGTCAGATCTGTAGCAAACTGGCATTGCTTGGTGCACTCACTTAGGTCAGTAAGTAACCAGTTAGTTTGTTCATCCACTTATTTATTTCCCTGGGAGCTTCGCGTTGTTCATCTCCGTCTAATATTCACCATGGCCCCTAAGCAGAGAATGAGAGTCCAGAGCGACAAGCACAGTCAGAACGTGGAGAAACGTGGATTAGTTCCCAAATCTCAGGTATGAGAATGAAAGCTGCCTGCCAAGTTATTTGTCCTGCCTTTGTTTCGAGGTTGGTCTTTGTCTGTTGTCCGCTACAGAGGCCTAAGGAGGATAAGTCACCAGTCGGACCTTATTTATTGGCACTGTTTATCTTCGTCGTCTGTGGCTCAGGTGTGTTAAATGTCCACCTCTGATTACAACCGTTTTGACTCTTGAGTGATTCGTGCTAAAATTCTCCTATTGTTCATTTCTCAAGCAAGAGTACGTAGTACGATGTCATGTACATGTATCGTAGTCCAATCCAACCTCGGCTATTGTGGATGAGTCTGGGTAGAGACTTTCGAAATGTCTGAGACGTATCTAAACCATTTTCTTGACGTGACGGGGTGTATCGCCTCAGCAGCATCTCAGTCGGGCCTTCATGTGTGACGATAGCTGCCTCACGAGGTGTTCAATGCACCACAATCATAATAATGTGTGTGTGCATGGAGATGCGTTGCCAAGCGTGAGGCAACTCTGCCATAGATAGATGAGTACCGAGCAGATCAAGTTTTATGGGCAAGAAAGACAAAGGGGCACATCAACATGCATCATTATACATGTTGCAGTGCACACCAGCGATTGTTGACAACTTTACACTCGATCTCCAATGTAGTTACCTGGTACACATATTGCGCTGTTGGTGCCGCATGATGGAGATAGTAGATGAGTTGGGTCTGCATGACCGAGGCAGGGCTGTGTTGACCAATGGAATCTGAGCTGGTCTGTCACTGGTGGTGTGCAGTATAGTTTGATCAAGCCGGCGGTGCACGGTGGTACGTGAATCGATATAATACGGTCTGATTCCTGAGTTGATGGTATGCGGGCAGTTTATACGGTACCGGCTGATGCATGGGTTGATGGTATTAGGAACTGTCCCATTCTCTGTGGAACTTTATTCAAGTCCTTGTGTAGTGGCAATGTTATCTATCTAGCCTGCATACGTCAGTGTTCACAACTGTGTAGACTTCATACAAGGCATACCTGCACATTAAGCCATGCACTTTTTGTTTCACTCCCCCCCCCCCCCCGAGGTAGATGATGGGGAGTGCAACTCTCTTGTGATCACGTTGCACTATTTCCTGGTGTAATGAACCTATTGTCTAAGACTCTTGAGTATGGAACCGTGTGATGTGAAACTCCACTGGTGTACTTGTAGCTAGATATTGAACGTGCAGCTGTCTGCACGTTCTCGGCGCGATGTACGCTTTACAGTATTAGTGGATGGACAGCCCCGTATCTTCCAATACATTCGCTTTGAGATGCCATTTGGAATTCTGCACTCGTGCTTTACTGTTTTTGTTGCAAGGGTTGTCTTTGTATGTCGTGCGTATGTACATGTACATGTACAATCACTCTATGTTCCATGTTGTTCTGTGTATGTACAAGGTTGTTTGTCACACCTGTGTGAGTTCTGGATTGTACTACAGTTGTAGCATGTCATGTCTTGTGAAGTACAAAGTTGTGATTAGGCAAGCCAAACGAATCATTGAAGATCGTCCTTTCCCTTAAAATTAGGAAACATGGCAGATTTAATTACTGTAAAAATGGGTAATGTTTGCCATGTGTAACTGTGTGCAATTTATGCGACATGTGCCAAATCGCAGACTTTGAACTTGCAACTTCAAGTACTGTTCTACAATGCATTACTGGTATTAGTGTGCGTATACCAACACCTAAGTACCCCCCCCCCCCCCCCCCTCGCCGCATATCAATGAATTTATTCGGGTCGGCCTTATAATACATGGTGGTGACCCGTGAAATACAGAATCATACTCTAGCGTGGCACTGCTGCGTTAAATGTTGTTCTTGTATCTAGGTGTTATATGCCATGATTAGGTACACTGGACCGGGTTCTAGCCAGGTCAAAATAGTGGAGGGAGAGGGGCGGGGGGAGGACTGGGGAAACAATTACCCTGTAACCCATTTTTTCCATTTTCGGAATAACTGTGCCCCTCCTACCCCCTTTGGCTAGAACCCTGCTAGACAGCAGTATACCGTGCACGGCCCCATTGACAACTACTGCAGCTACTTTGAGTGGCTTGTAGCCGAGTTGCTTTGAGTAGCTTGTTGTAGCTGAGTATAGTCAGATGTTTACTTTACTGATGCACTGGTATCTCGATCTCCAACCACCTCACTCTTGCAGACCAAAGTAGACCAATATGACCTACCGGTTTTTCCTGGTTCCTGGTCCCCGCACGGGGTTCTCCCAAATGTGCGACTACACCAGATCACCACAGAACTACAATGACGTACTCGTAGTTCAGTGTGGAAGATATCCAGAGTTTTGAGGCTCACTCTTCATTCCCCACTGGGTTTTGTTCTGCTTTGTCTTATCTGTGTCATTCTGTTTTTTGTTTTGTTTTTTTTTGTCCCATTCACATGTCCATTGCAGCCATCTTCCAAATTATCCAGAGTATTCGGATGACCGAATAAGGCTCCCGACGCTATTGCAGTCGCTGGTCATGCTGGTGCTGTCTTCGCTGTTGTCGTCTTCGTCCTTGTCCCACACCCATTGAGCCCTGGTGGCATCTACTTTCCCCCTGTCTGTCAGTCCTCGTGTACGTACGCTGCTGCTGTCATCGTGCTATCTCTCTCTGTTTTGTTTGCTGGTGCTGGTGAAGGGAGGATGGGTGGTCGTCTCGCCAGGACTGTAATATTTCAGAAGTGTTTGCTATTGCCATCCTGTTCCAGATTGCAGCTGATTGCAGCTGAAAATCACTATTAGAGCTTTGTTAGATTATTTTCCGTTCATTGCATAGACCTGTATCGATAGTTGCTGCGGGGCCACATATTTCTTTTCAACCCCCTTCCTGCTTCGAATTGATCATTCATCAGTGCGTGTTTATTCTGTTGTAAATAGTTTCACCCTCACTTGCTGCATATCAAACTGCCCCATGCTGAAAGAAAATCAAAATTTGAAACTGATGAGATTGCATGATCTCCATTGCCACATTGTCAGGAATTAGAATGGTCGAAATGAGGAAACTCTAGGGTAAATAATTATTATGCTAAATATGGTGGTCAGCAGGACTAGCATCGATAGTGCAGTAAAGCAGGGTACCGTTTGAAGCCCACTGGAGAGGAAGAAATGCGTCATGTAGGATGCCTAGCATGTGTTTGATGTGTGCTACAGTGCATTTCAAAACTATAGACGCGTAGGGTTTTTGAAATATTTCAAATTCGGCTGGAAACTTTTGAGAATAGTTTTCGGAATATTGCTCAGGATCGCTCCACAATTACTCTCATATAGTTTCTAAAGGATTGGATAACAGACGCCCAATTTGGAAAAATTTATGCACAAAGTGATCACAGATTTTATGTGGTATAGATGCTGGCATAACGGTTTTTGCCTAGGTACGCGTCTTTAGTTTTGAAATGGACTGTAGAACTAGACATTATAATTGGATAGCATCACCTCAAGATGTGCACGTGGATAGTACTGCAAACTATTGTAACATGAATTGTAGCTACTACCTTTTTCGGAGCTGAAGCGGTCAATTCGATTTCAAATTATACTATAGTGTAATTTCTATACAATGTACATGAATTTTACAGATCAAGTTGACTAAAATGTACATGAAAATCAGCCAGGATTCCGGGCATTCAGCATGGAATCGGAATCATGCACAGCCCCGCCTTGCTAAATAACGTCGTTATCAGCATTCCTTGCAGTGTACGTAGCTAGCCGTGTTAGTTGTTGTACTGGGCAAATCCACGGTTCAAGCTCATGAAATAGATCTGCGACGAACCACCGCGAAGTGACGCAAAGAAGACCTGGAATGAGCACACGAATACAGGGGATGGCATGTTGGTGGAGTATGTCAATTGTATGATCATCTAGAACTACTATAGTACATGTAGTACAGTAAACCTCTTTAGGACAAACACTGATAAGGCGAACTTTCCATTAGTACGAACTAGGGCCAATCCTATGGTTGGCCAGGCATCATATCAAGTTAAAATTGTTCGTTTATGACGAACTCCTGTACTTCGAAATTCTCGTGTCAGAAGACGAACTATTAAATTTCAAGCGCGATTCGAACAAATTCAGCGCGTAGTACGAACTTTTCCGATCCACGTACTTGCACTGACTGTAGTTTTTTTGTCCGATAGTCGAGGCCTCTTGTACGGGCGAAAGCAGTTAACAGGATGTTACAAGGCGGAGGACATACTGTCATAAATTCATTGCACATTATACTTGCCTATTGCTGACTTATGCTATGAATAAATGCTCTACATGTGCCATAGCATTCACCTTCACATAAATACAATCCATATGATATGCAGATCAATTTTTTTGTCAGATCTGGATAAGAAGAACTGCGGATAAGGCAAACAAACTTGTTCCGTCCCTTGAAGTTCGTCCTAACGAGGTTCGACTGTAGTTCTCTCAGGGGCATGTAATACTTGTAGTGTTGTATAGGAAAGGTAGTTTTTTTGTGGGAACACTCGTAAGTTTTTTTCAAACTAGTCCACCACAACCGCTGTCACAAAACGTCTCGAATAATCAACAGCGACAATGGAACGCTCTCTATGAAAAAAATGCAGGCACCATAATCTTTTGGATTCTGGATCAGGGTGATGTTGGCAAGTACTTTCACGCACACACTTTAATACAGACATTGTTGCCACATCATTATAGCCAAATATCAGTTGGATAAAAAAACAAAATGCATCATCCGGGGGCTTTGCCCCCGGACCCCCTCCCCTATATATCGACCTCGACACACACACACACACACACACACACACACACACACACACACACGCGCGCGCGCGCAGCACTGATAAGAAAACTGATAAGAAAAAAATTTCACGTTTTGCGCGAGACTCGGGCTGAGTTTGCCGATTTTTCTCGAGACAGATGATGATTTCGCTTAGCGCCTTAGGAGAGAGCTATGGAAACACGCGTAATGAGCAGTAAAGGCCAAAAATCTGGATCATGACTTCTAAACCACGCATAAGGTCAAACTTGGACACTTTCATGGCTGTTGTCGGCAGGAGAAGGTCAATTGTCGGCAGGTCGTGACATGCCTCAAAAATCGGCAGGCTACTGACATGTCGGCAGGTGTGGCAACACAGTACAGATCACATGGAAAGGCTAGATTTCATTGAATAGCAGTTCATCAACGGGAATCTTCAATGTTATCTTGATTGTCACCTACATGGCTGTCCATATCTACACTTTTTAAGCAGAACTCGCGGCACGGTCTAATCGGTCTTCTCACCTTGTCGTTGCGCTCGCACAGGAAGCGCAATTTCTGCTCCCGCTTGTGCATGAAGACGCCATCGAGCTCACCGGAGTGAAGGTTGCGGATCTCAATAGCACGCGTGCCCCAGCCCATTACACTGCCTTGTCCAATGTAAGCTGGATGCAGAGCAAGGATCAGAAACACGACTCAGTCAATATTATTGGCATGTAGTACAGCATCATGTGGGTAATTCAAAGTCGAGCATGATTTGATTATGTACAACAATCATTAAAACAGAACTGACCAGTACCTGACTACCGGTTTGCAAGCTGCGGAACATCGAACAAAGTGACCAGGCTTACATGCAGAAAAATTGACGTGAGCCAGTAGGGTCAAAACTCGAAAGGGTACCTTGGCCTCCAGGGGGAGGTTTCGAGAAAACGAGCTACTGTAAATGTATGCGATTTTCACGTCAGCTGATTGCTGCATACTTCCCTGTATGATCCCGTGGTGAGATGGGAATGAAGCAGTTTTAGCTCATTGTCTCTACAAGTTGCGTTCTTCTAGACTGGCATGGATTGTGTAGATGTATGCACTGCAGACACTTACCGATGGACGTCGGTGCTTCGCCCCACTGCAGGCGGATGTCACGGATGACTTGTCCGGACAGGTCGACATATACACCTTCATCTATCGAAGTCAAGCCAATGCAATATTGAGAAGCACAGCAGACAACCAGCACACCAGATTTTAGAGGCCCGCACATCAATACAGCCAGTACGACACACCCACATATGAGAGGAAATGGATGTTGGGCTCACTCAGGCATATATCAAGTCGACTTTTTTTCACTATTTCATCAAATAATGGGCCATCACCAAAATCACACAGTGAAACCAGGGAAATGTTGCACAATAAGGCAGTGACTGCCACGACTTGTGAAATTAATGTCAGAGAGGCATGAGACAAACTTACGGTTGAAACATAGCAGTAGCTCAGCTCCATCCGTACCTAAAACAAGAGGAGGATAGCATCTCTAGTCAATCTTGAACAGGTAATGGGCAACTTGAGCCCGACCCCCTCAAACAGAATCTACCTATTGCTTGCTGCCAAGAGTATTACCAGCGTGCACCCATGGCAATTTCCGCTTGGCACAGCACACACACACACACACACACACACACACACACGTGCACGCACGGGCACGCAGGACACACACACATATGCACACACACACACACACACACACACACACACACACACACACACACACACACACACACACACACACACACACACACACACCGAAGTTCATTGAACAAAGCATGAGTGAGATTGCCATCTTATACAGTCTTCAGACATAACAGTGCCCAGCAACAAGTATGTTACAATCATGACTTCTACAACAATCAGCTGTGATAACTAAAACCAGATCGATCTCACGCACTGCGCATCCCAAGGACTGAGAACATAATAATAATCATGTAGTAAGGTATTTGTTTTCACACGGCTCCACCTCTTGCCACAGGACAGTACAGTACGTGCAGTAACCACCCCCACTGCAATGCATCGGAGACTCACCGGGTATGGGGATGATGGCGTGTGGAGTGATTGTTCGACTTTGCTGCAGGAGCAATGGCAGAAAAGCACACAAAACAATTGTTATAAAATTGAATAACATCATTGCCAGTTTTTGATGGTCTGTGCCAACGATCATAGCTTTCAGAAGTTCATTCAGCCTGAACAAAGGAGATCGAGAGGAATTAGAAGTTCAGGGCTCACGGTTGGGATGCCAAAACTCGATTACGTGGGAGGACATCTTGAAATCTGATCACCATAGAAATGAGCTCGCGCGACTCGAGCTATGCACGCGGCAGTGCACGCCTACGCGGCGCGGCGCAAAGCAAGGAGAGTTGCAGTGACCTGGTGACTGACAAGAAGAAGTAGAACTGAGGAAGACGGAGACCGGCTGGGGACTTGTGTTTCACTTTGGTTGCCGTTCACTGTCGTTGTTACTGCTTCTTTCCGAGCAAGTGTGTTGCGAGCAGTGCTGGCCTCGTAAGCCAAAGACTTCAGACAGTTCGTTCGCACGCTGAGTCCTGCGATGAGAAGTCGCGAGTTCTGCCGCCGAGTCTTTGCTGAGAAAGGGATCGACATCTATGTCGTCCGCTGGTGCACTGGCGCAGGTGAGGAGAGGTAGAGGACAAGAGCTCCTTGATGGAATGAAGCAAAGACTCACACCGTGTTCTAGTTCGTTATCTCTGTTCTCAGAGCGTTTTGTAAATGCACTTACACGAGTGAAAGAGCCGTGCCACGCTGCTGTGAGAAGTGACGATGGAGAGTTGTGAATTATTTGATTTGCCACTCTCTTTCGTTGCAAGAGGACGAATCAAATGGCTTCGCCGTTGTACTGGTCATGTATTTTCGGTTCGCCATAGCTGCTGAAGCACACAGCAGTAGAGCGCCGATGAGCGAGACAGCAAACGGTCAATAATATTTCAAGAGTTTGTCAGTCACGGAGGAAACATTGCAAAAAACGCCTTGCTGCTGCCTCGCTGGTGTAGTTTCCGCATCGTACAACGCATATGCACAGGCTTCCTTCCTTGTCGTCGCGCACGGGAGTTCGCGTGCGCCCCTGCCGACTTAGCTCACTTCAAAACAGTATAAGGTAGCACAATATTGGCCGATTTTGTCAATCGATGGCTCAAAATCTTCAGGAGATACTAAGCTACAGTTTAACCGAAGCGATTTTTCCCTAGATGAAGGGATCGCTGTAGAGCATTCACGGACTTTGTGACAATATCTTTAGTTTCCCGGGGCCAAAATCAAAAATTCCTTCGGTTGAACCCCTAGTTCACATCTTGCCTGGTTCCACCCAAATTTTCAGTGTCGTACTGTCTACCCGTGCTACCTTATTCCATTTTGAAGAGGCATGTGTCGCACTGAAAATGCGCTGCGAGATGGCTAGAGTTTGTGTACAAGGGGTGGTCGCGTGACAGTCGACCTGTCGTCGCGTGAGCTGGCCAGAAACAAAATGGCGCCCACGTATTTGTACACAACCGTGAGCCCTGAAGTTTGCAAGTGTGATACGCCGACCAGGCATAGTGCAAACCAATCGTTTGTGCTGGTATGCCTTTTCAAGCGAGCACAAGCAGAAAGAGAAAGACTGACTCACATGCACTGGGACATGCTGGAACGGGATATAGAGATCACCAATGTGTCCCGTCTCCATGTCAATGATGTGGAAACCTGAAAGCAGAGCAGCGTAGCACACCGTCACAATCATGTTTCAGGTTCCTCTCTCCTTTACTAATCTCTCACACACACATGCATGCCCGCACACACACATTATGCATTACAGAAGATGTAAGCCTGATTGCAATGCTAATTGAGGTAGTGTGTCAAACAATCCCTCAACACAGTTGCCTGGTACCATTTCTAGCCAACTCAACATTCTAAAGGAAAATCCACCGCCTAGTCTTCTTACATAATGTAGAGGCAGAACATTTCGTCGGTCAATAATTTCGTCCAACTCCAAAGAAAAGGAGTTCGTCCGGTTGAAAATTTCGTCCATGGATCATAAGAGTGTATAGAAAAGCTGGACAAATCGATATTCGTCCTACATTTAATTTAGTCCAAAAGCTCCTTGGACGAAAAAGACGAAATTAAATTCCATACGAATATTTCTGCTTATACAGTATACGTGGCAGATGGCAGATGGGTTGGGCAGCAAGCTAACGTTATGCCATGCTTCTACTAGCCTTCTATAGGAACAGATGGCTGGCCACACTGTCATTTGCTAGCTCGGAGTGTACTTCAAAGCAATGATTCACAGGATATCCTCACCTTCAGCGGAGCAGTAAACCAGCTTGAGCTTGGTGCTGTCATGCACGAACATATCTACTAGCAGAGGCCGCTGGGCGACATCCACAAAACTCTGTAGAATTTAGAGGAAGAGAGAGCGGGGAGAGAGAGAGAGAGAGAGAGAGAGAGAGAGAGAGAAGAGAGAGAGAGAGAGAGAGAGAGAGAGAGAGAGAGAGAGAGAGAGAAAGAGAGAGAGAGAGGGGGGGGGGGGGGGGAGGGAGAGGGAGAGGGAGAGAAATTACGTCAGCAGAAAAAACATGCACCCATGCCTTCTTACCAGACCAATGGCCTGGCTGCTCCAAACTTAGGAAGGGTTCCAGTTAGTAATACAAAACACATACAAAAATCAAATGACAGGCAGACAAACACTATCATCAACCATCCAGGGTACTCCGGGCCAGTGCAATACGGTCTAAGAAGGGTAAGGCACTACTCCACTGGCTACGACATGGAGCAATTCCGCGATTACATCATATTTGGTGCAGCTCCGAGGCAGGAAGTGTCGTAGTGTGTACAACTGAGCTGTAGTTGTGCATAAAGAGACCTGCTTGAATCCTGCTTGTACGCACTGCATCACTAAAGCGATGTAATCCCGGAACTTGATTTCGCCGTGACAGCAACCCATCAGAGCGGCACACTCTGGGTGTCATGTATTTTTGTTAATACTACATGCTAGATGTTTTTCAACCTACCTTGAAGGCCATGAACTTGTGATAGGGCTTGGGTGCCCAGGCAAACACCTCTATGCGAGTTTTCATGGCAATGCAAAGGAATCGCATGCGCTCATACTTCACTGTACAGACAAGAGGAATAAGAGCACACGCATTTCAGGTTATTCACTTGCCAAGCTATATCGACGACAATGGTACTTTGCCATCCTTTTTGTCATGTTATTAGCATGTGCGCGTGCATGTGTTCACCCCAAGGTTTATTCTTTTCCAGGGAATTGATACAATAGGCACCATAGCATAGGCCTAAGGGGAAGAGGTAGCTGTCTATGTTGCACAAATTGGAGAGAGAGAGAGGGGGGGGGGGGGCTTAGCCTAACATATAGTAGAAGTAGTAGTACTGTAGTATCTTTCTATTTTACTCGGGTACTAGTAATCAACAGGCTATTGCCTTCTTACAGGGACTGTGACCCTAGGTGGTGCTTGGCAAGTTTGACAAAGATTGCGGGGGAGTCGGCGAGACGGCAGTGAGCACAAAGGGTGTTATGCTAAGCAGCATGCAGCTGTGCTGTATGCGAGGGAGTGACGGCCAAAGCGGGTGTGGGCAGTAGGAGGGCTGAGAGCAGAGCTGGCCTGTCCACGGGTCACCGCAACTGTGTGGGTAGCGTGCATATCTGGCTGGATCTAAAACCTTTGTTCTCTGGTGTGTGTGTGTGTGTGTGTGTGTGTGTGTGTGTGTGTGTGTGTGTGTGTGTTTGTGTTTGTACAGAACAGGACAGGTGTGTGTTTGTGGATGCACGGCTGCTGAAAGCTGCTCATTAACGGCTAAAACTGACCGACGCGGTAATGAACGCAGCCTTCCACAGAGCCGACTTCAGCATAGCCAGACTTGCTGTGTGCATCATACTGTATAACACATAAGCAACACAGCAACACAGCAATACAGCAACACATGACACTCTTAACACTTTACCGGCAAGTTACTTTTGTACTTGGTCCGTTTCATCGCAATTGTCGCTTATCTATCGCAACTAAGAACAGGAGTTATTTTATCGCTCTGTAAAATTTCTAAAACGCATAGTGAAGAACCATGATACAGGATTCCTCTCCGCCACAAGAAAAATAATTCAGCGATGGAATTTGATGAAGCAAGTCGAAGAAAGGAAGCAACGTTACTAAAAATGTACAAAAGAAAACAGCGACCGAGCGCGTTCTTGCACTCACGCTTTAGTTTATTCAACTCTGGCTCTGTATCACTCGAGCTGATGTCACTTGAGCTGACATTCGCTGGTGTGTTTAGCTGCTGGCGTAGAGTATCTCTTGCTTTCTTCGCTTGGCGTATGGCAGCGATGGGAAAGGAACAGTCGTGACTGTCACTTTGGCACTTGGAGGAACGTGGGCAGCGTGACCGGTGTGTCACCACTGTGTGTTTCAACAATGTTTTTGAATCAGGCACACATCCCTCTCCAGACAGCTGTCATACGCTCTGCTGGATACTCTGACCAAGACTCTTGTACTGCCGCTGCCAGGTTGGACAATGTCTTCTTTGTCACCATCTCGCCATCAGTTTGCAGGCTTGCAAAGAATGCCAGGTCGTTGCACTTGCAGTTTAAACGTGGCGACTGAGCTGGCTGGCCTGGCCGTGACTGTCACGCTCTCCAGGTCAGGATGTCGATTTCCCCTGCTACAGTTCCGGTCTTCGAGCTGCGCTTGGCTTTTCGCTGCAGTGAATGTGTGCATTTGCTGCAGTGCATTCACTGCAGCGAAAAGTTCCCCACTTTCCCATCACAATCGTACGAATCGCGATGCCACTGGCGCTAGTCTCGATGGTTTTTTCTTTCTGGTCTCCTTTGATCTTGCTATCACAACCTCCCAAACGAATGTGAGTTAGATATCGAGATCTGACTGGGTTTTACCTGTCAAAAGGTGCGTGGGAGATAAGCGACAATTGCGATGAAACGGACCAAGTATATGAAATCCATAACATTTAGAAGGATGCCAATAACTCATAACGAGGCCACATTTTGTATGTGCAAGTTATTTTTTCTTGGAAGTCTAGTACTACTAGTACTTCTTGACCATGGAAAAATTATTATCTCATACCACACACATACGCTGCTAAATTGGCACTTCTACGTCTACGGAAATTGTACACATGCAAATCGTCAGAGTTCCGACATTGACATGATACGGCCAAAACAAGTCGACTTCGGAGCGGAAACAAACGCCATAGCCATCACAAACTTCAGTGGCCATGCCTCGCTCGCAAATGAGAGCAGCATCGCCCCAGAATCGCTGTCGGAAAGCTCCGTAAGGTCGCACGCACGCCGCGCTGCGCTGCCGTCACTCAGGTACGTAGGAAGTCGATGGCCTAAATTCCATCTCTGGGAGACTGTCGACACGGGGATCGCTCTCCATGGCTTCCCCACCATAAGCACCATCAGATTCTTCCAGGTACATCACGACGACATCGTCTTCAGCGGCTGGCGTTCCCCATATTTGCGTGAGAATTTACTTGGCGTGCGCTCTGCTCCGTAATTCGAAATTCGCTTGAATCGGCGGCTGGAACGAAGTATTTATCTATCTGTCGTCGGTCCCAGAGCGAATGACTGCTAGATCCTCGTCGGAGAAGTCATCCGAGGACGAAAGGAACTCACTGCGCAAGAGAAAATGCACCTGACGAGTTTTTGACGGAGGCGGACGGCATTGTCGGCGCGCGTGTATTTCCGTAAGTTTTCGATCGCGCAATTCTCAATGAAATCAAATGGGACATGCGTGGATCTCTTCAGCTACGGATAGGATCATACCTTGGTTGTGTGAGGGCCACGGGAAATCCCCGTGGGCTGATGCTTCCCGTCATGCCAGGCATGGTTTTGTATGCATGTCGAATGCGTCAACATTGACGCATTCAAGTATGGGGCTGTCGGTAAAGGGTTAACATACATATTAAAACTGTAACATGCACTGCAGTAAAGCGGCATAAGCTGAAGAACAACCAGATTGTGTAGGTATGCAGTGCAGGCTGGGAGGTTGGAAAGTTCAGAGCGAGTCGAGATAGGCCGGAACTCGTCAAGTATGAAACTTTCAGAATTTCCCTATTTTCATGGCAAAGAATATTTCAGAAAAAAATTATGGGTATCATCTTCGTATCCAACATCCATATAGCACAGGACTCGAAACGGATCCCATGAAATAAGATTTTTGGTGACAAGGAGCAAAAATGAGAACCCAGCCTCATTGCTTGTCACATAGGAACATTCCAGTCTGGACAGCAACATACCTCTTCGCCGCGAATAACCTTGTTCCTGAGCCAGCTGAGGTAGTAAACACGAATGCGGTTCTTCTTTCCTACAGGAATGACGGGAAGAAGTGAAACGGTCAAACATGGAAAGTCAATTTCGCTTTCTGAATGAGCATCGATGTGCAACAGAATTCATAGCTGCGTGACCAGTACCTTTAGTTTCCACGTACTGTACTGGTCCGGCATCCAGGTGATGCCAGATCCAAACTGTGCACTCTAGCAGGTACAATGCACACTGACAGACTATCTCCTACAGTCTAGCTCAATACAGGTGATGGAGAGCAGTGGAAATCTAAACGGTGGACATACAGGATAGCATGCACTGCCAGCTTACCCGATATAGTGACAAGCACATTCAGACCTTCCAGGACTTCGATTTGCAGGAAGCGACGCCGTCCAACTAGCGGGTACACTGTACACACACGGAGTAGTGCATGGATGGGTCAAGATGGAGGCAACACCTCACATGAAGTGCATGCATTCAATAGTATATGCTTGTCATACCGGCATTGCAATCGGCTGACCCAAGAAGCACACTGTGCCAACAACCCTAACCAGATGTGTACAGTACAAGTTGATAATTACATCATCACTCGAGGCGCTTTGTATGGAGTGATATCACAAACAGATAAAATGATGTCATTTGTATGGCCTCTATACATTCAGTACATCATGTACTTGTTGTGGTAGTATATTAGTGACTTACCTCTACCATGCCCACTGCGATCCAGAAGGAATAGTCCATTGTCAGTGCCAACAAGCAGGTTCACACCTGTACACACAGTACAGTACAGTGTAGCACAGCACATGCATCCACGTCATCAGTGAAGCACAATACACCATGCATGCACACATGCATAAACACAACACATGCATAAACACAACACATGCATAAACACAACACATCCACGTAGCACAGCGCACACATCTACTATATCCACATCCACGTCAACTGTAGGTCACGAAAAGGTAGAAGATATGGGCATCAACAACTGGGACATACCATGCACAAACATCACGCAGCCTGCGTTTCCCACAGCACCGAGACCGCTACTAGTATTCTACTTCAGCACAGCACAGTGAAGACATGTGCAGTGATATCGTTAACAGCATTACCAGTTCAACGCACACCCAGCTCAAGACACTTTGCAGACTGTAAGTGTTCTGCTTGCCACTAAACCTCCCATCACTGTCAGACTGGTATCACCATTGCTCACAGCATGGGCAGGTAGCAGTCAGCATGACTAGGCACAGGCAATAACCAAACACCACTCACCCCATAGGGCAGCACACAGGATATCGGAATTGAATCGGCTCTTGTACTTTCGAATCTCAGGAACCTGTGACAGTACAGAGAAAGTATCAGCCAAGACCTGTACATTAGCGTGTTTCAATGCTACGAGCAGCAAGCACGTCCACACTATAACACAAAGGTACATGTAGGGGAATTTTGGGTAAGTGCTTGGCTACTTGCTTACCATACTTGCCGGGCCGGACTGCTTGGATGCTGCGGGGTTCAGGTTTACAACGGGAGCCGACGGTGTGGCTGCTAGCGGCGGTGGAGGAGTGTTCTTGCCGGGTGTTGACGCGTTGAAGCCATACGCTTGGAACGAGGCATTAGATACCTGATGAGACAGTCCGCCTGCAAGCAGGAAAATGAGCGGCGACGTTCAGAGATGGGGCTACCTACTGTGGACGATGCAGTGTTTATTGGGATTTCCCACACCACCCGCAAAGCTCAGGTAGGTGCACAGATATACACACATTCATACACAGACCCCCCTCCCCCACTCCACCCACATGCACACCTACACATACCTAAATGAAAGCGCATGCCAAAGTACACAAACAGCTGGTAGTGACTTGTCTAAAAGCAAAACACATACTGGAATCTCCTGACGTCCCAGATGTAGCACCGGCGGATGAAGACGAGTAGTTCGAGCCGGTAGATGAGCGTGGTGACAGTGCCATGTGAGCAGGTAGATGACTGCCGATGAGTGGACCCATGTGAGTCACAGTGGCTGCAATACTGCCTCGCCGAGAGTCACCAGCGGCGCCCTGTATCAACACACACATGCACATATACACACATACACACAACACATACAAATACACACATATCGTATGAACACACACGTGCAAAATACATGGTCATGGTGACGTTCATTGCACCGCGTCCTGATCGCCAGAACTACCGTCATATGTGTGTGAATATGTCCAGTGGCAGGAAATCGTAAATGCACAATGCATGGAAATCTAAGAGACATCCTCCACTTCCCAGTTACACGTAAACAGCAACAATACGGTTCAGAAGTCTTACATATTGGCGTGGTGAATCACCCCTCTCCCTCTGCAAGATGTTGGTTGTTAGCTGGAAGCTGGGATCTTCATCTAGCAAGTCTGGACTGGATGAGGTCACTTCACGCCGGCAAACAAGACAGACAGATCATACCAGTAACGGATAATATACAATTCGAAATTGATCAATACTTGGGATGTACATGTATGGATGAAGTGGATGCCCCGCAAGCTCATCAAGTACATGCAATAGCTTCGGGCGAGTTTTCCATTTTTGAATTTGTACAAAAACGTATACGAAGGAGGACATGTATAAGTAATGTACTATTCGCCTCTATAATTATACTGCAATGTCACGTATTAAAGCCGGGCTTATTCTTGCAGAAGCTTATGTCAGTACTAAGCCTCTACTCAAGTCAGCCTTGCAGTTTTCTAGTATTTCTTGAGTTCTTCATAGCTATGGCAACACAATGGCTTACCAACTGTTGGTGTTGTGGTGAGATTTGAGGCTGCTGCAGCTGTAGCGTTGCCACTTGTTGCCAGTGGAGATACTTCGCTGACGCGCCGCCTGAACAACAGAGAGAATCATTGTGTGCATCAACTGAGTCACACCCGAGGGCATGTGTGGCGTGTGTGTGTGTGTGTGTGTGTGTGTGTGTGTGTGTGTGTGTGTGTGTGTGTGTGCTCTGTTCATCGATGCCAGCCTGTCACGAGTTCTCCTACACCAACAGTCAGTCTGTCTGTGCCACTTTCAGCTTGTTGCCAGCAGCACTGCCCAACATGTCAGCGATGCTTCCGTTCTGCGGCCGGGTTCAAGCGTCACAACTGCAATCGTGGTGCGAGACCATCTGCTGCTGAGAGAGCAGCTCTGCCCCTCAGCTGCCCACGTTGTAAACGCAATTTCCGCCGGCAGCAGGACCTAGCCAGACATTCGCGGTCCTGCTTGTGATCCGTGTCCCGTTTTCTGGTCCCCTTTCCATAGGGGTGACACTTGCCCCTCTGGGCAGTCATGCTGCTAGTAGTAGTAGTAGTAGTGTGTGTGTGTGTGTGTGTGTGTGTGTGTGTGTGTGTGGTGTGTGTGGTGTGTGTGTGATGTGTGTGTGGTGTGTGGTGTGTGTGTGGCGTGTGTGTGTGTGTGTGTGTGTGTGTGTGTGTGTGTGTGTGTGTGTGTGTGTGTGTGTGTGTGTGTGTGTGGTGTGTGTGGTGTGTGTGGTGTGTGTGGTGTGTGTGGTGTGCGTGTGTGTGTGCATGTGTGTGTGTGTGTGTGTGTGTGTGTGTGTGTGTGTGTGTGTGTGCGTGTGCGTGGGAGGGGGATTGACAGCATCACAGTAACAAGCTGGGATGTCGCAAACTACTGTGGTCTAGTTGTGATCGTCTCTCGGACTTACACTGGCTCAGCACTGTACTGGCGAATCAACGTGCCACTCTTCTGATCTTCCGTGTCGGAGTCACTATCACTTTCATTGACAATCATCGTACCAGTGGCACTACTAGTGCCGGCATTCTCCTCTTCACGAATGTCTTGTCGTTGTTGCTAAACCCACAGCAGGGGAGAAGAGAGGTTATCCACACACAAGGAAACACAGTGTTACGTAACTGTTGCCAGTAAGGTCTTTTCCTTCTACTGTCACAACATTCCAACTTTCCTGATGAAATGCTGTGGCAGTGGGATACGGTCATACCGCAGTGTATCCCAACATTCATTCACAGCACGACCACACGCTACTGACATGCTACCAGCTCAATCCAAGGACAGTAGTCCTTTGCCCGTTGTGGACTCATCAACACAGCACAGAGAAACGAGGCCGAAACCTAAAGAGGTAAAGCACAACTTGATGTCTAAAATCGGGTTCTCCATGGGTGACGATGGCATGCAGTGGTACGGTGGGTCTTCATCTCCCTTTTTCCAACACCGAATCATCCTAGTGTTCCAAATTCTTACTACTACAAACACAGAGGCGCACTGAGAACGTGTGACGAGAAAACACGAGCACACGATTGACTCGTCACCTGGTCAGTGAGCGCTAAATTTGCACCTCGTCGAGCTTTGCAGATACTGGTTCTGCTCTGTAGCTAATGGTTCCCTGCTCAGAAACCTACCGACGGAAGCGGAAGCATCCCTAGCGACGACAAACGCTGATGTCCACGATCCATTGGTGGTGGTGTAGTGCGCGGCTGGACAGGACTTTCCGATGACTTCCGCACCGGCTCAGGAGAAGCCTTTGCTGCTGCTTTATCCGCATGGGAATCTCCTCGACCAGCAGCACGGAGTGTGGAATTATCACCAGCAGAGCTTGCCAGTCGTAAGGTGCTAAGAGAAAAACAAGAACAGAATAAACACAAAGCACAGCTCTCTAGCTGTTTCTAGCGATGTGGTGATGGCTGAGCGAAGAATACAGTCAGAGTAAATGGCAAGTACAGTCCGTATCGCCTATAAGGTTGGCGGCTATAGTAATATACCGGATATAGTGATCAATTTCTCAAATTCATTTTCATTTGCCATAACTAAGTATACACAGTTATCGCGTATAGTAATAATCGTCTTTTGTAATATATCGCCTATAGTGATCAAATTCATGTTTCAAAAGACGTTTACTACACTATTTTTGCATCAGTTATAGTGATTGGTGTGAAATCAAGCGATGTCAGAGGAGAACAGGGTGTTACTTCTTCGTGAAGAACTTGTCCAGGGAGTGTTGTTTGGCGAGTTTTGCTTGTACAAGTAAAAAATATGCCTCCATCGTGAGGAAATCCTGATTTTGTGTGTCAGGAGCTACAGCCAGCTATATGACATTGTACATGTATGTAGTGCGTATGTGCACGGCGCGCTGAGTCGTTTGACACCCCAATCGCATACATTGCATGGAGTATCGGTCATAGTAATATATCGCTTATAGTGATAAAATGCTCAAAATCAAACACCAACGCTATAGGCGATACTGACTGTACCTTGGTCAGGATGAAAAGACCAGTGCCATATGGCCCAGAATCTGCGAAAACCAGGCTTAGGGTGAAATTTCACAAAATGACTTTTTCCCATTTTCAGCTTCTACTGGGCATGGGAGGTCAGGAAACAAAATATTACAGGTGTGGGTCGACTCATAGTGGTATTAAAAGTATCTCAAACACACCAGGGTATTGTGTTTTTAAAAAAATCCAAAAAAAACACAAAATTGTTATCACAGGAAAGAAGTGAAAAGAGATCCACCAGAGTGAAGGAAGAGACATGGATGATTTTTGTTTAGGTGACATGACAAGTGTGGCCAACAAGGCTCTTCAATAATACTTCACACAAGGGTCGTAGGAGACATCGTAGGCAACCTGGTTCCAACAATCACTCGATTGAAAGACGAAGAGACAAAAGACAAACGACAAGAAAACCTGAACAAGAAGGCCCGAAAAGGACCAAGATGTCCAGAAAAGGATAAAGAAGATAACGTAGTACAAATTATCGTACAACAAAGCAAGATACGGGGGAACCATGCGCGCGACCGCGCGGGTTCACAAAAGCTCCCGTGAAACAGATATGGATACGTGATGTCAAAGAAAGCGAAAGGGTCAGGAGTACAAATCTGACACGGCTTCTAGATATGGATACGTGATGTCAAAGAAAGGGAAAGGGTCAAGAGAACAAATCTGACACGGCTTCTAGAAGACACACTACACTACTACGTCATGAGTACGCGACTGCACAGTCAGCGTAACTATAGAAAATATGGCGACTGGTCTGCAAGCAACGACCAGGTGCAGAACAAAATCAAACAAACAGAAATATTCAAAATACGGTTGTGAAAGAAAGAAGAAAAGAATGAAGCTGAAGGGTTACACCTGTCAGAGGGTGTTAGCACCCGACGCTGGGTGACAGCAAACCCTGTCAGGTAGTGGTAAATAATCCTAACACTTCTGCAGCAGAACTTCAATCGCAGCGAAAATACATCTCAGGTAAGAAACTCTAAAACTCTTGCAATAATTCGAGCGTCTCAATCTATCGCGATCCACTCACAACATACGCATGCAAACAACTCGAAACAGAGAATGTATCGGTCTGCGACATCCTCCCCACCAAAGCACATCTCACACATGCACAAGTCACTCACGATACCTCTGAGGGCGTTGCACAAGACGTGTACGCGTGCGTACCGACTGCTGTACTTGTGGCTGTGGCTTGAGTGTGGCTTTCTCACTAATCACGTCCTCTGGATCATCAGCCCTATGTGTAGGCACGACATCCTCGACATCCTCGGGCTCACTATCAGCATCAGCAGTTGGTGACTCATTGCGGCTGGAGATCTCCAACGGCACCAAGCGCTGAATTGGCCGCAGCAACTCATGTCCGCTCACTCGGACCTTCGCGACACGCTGACGGCCATCTCGACCAGTGTGCAGTTGCAGTATTCTGGCCAACTTCCAGCACACACGCTTCTTGGTATGATCTGCCAGGAACACGACATCGCCAACTGCTAGTGCATGACCCTTGCGGTCATGGTGACTGCGGAGGCTCAACAAATACTCCTCAGTCCATCGGGCAGTGAAGTGCACTCTCAGCTGCGAAAGATACTGCAGACGACGGTTCGCATCAGTGTGAGACAAGCAACTCTCCGCATTCGAGTCAGACTGGACACTAGCAGCACCCAGCAACATCGACGGAGACAGCGGCAAGTCTTCGTCCTCCGTTACATACGTGATCGGACGGTCATTGACGACATCCTGGACTTCCGACAGCAGAGTCCGTAGCTCCGTCTTGGATAGGAGCGACTTGCCTAACACACGCCGCAGTGGGGACTTGACAATAGCAACCAGCCGTTCAAAGAACCCACCGTGCCATGGTGCTGCTGGGGCATTCAGTCGCCAATCCACTGAACTGACGAGACGTCGGGATGCAGCTGCGAACGCTGTGCCGTTATCCGACCGAACTAGAGTAGGCTTGCCGAATCTTGCGACGAAACGACGATACGCTAGGAGGAACTCTTCCTCCGACAGACTCTCGACAAGCTCAAGATGCACTGCACGTGTTGTCGCGCACACAAACAATAGAATCCACACCTTGCTGGATACGCCGCGGTCCTTGACGAGCAGCGGGCCAGCGTGATCGACACCGACAACGCAGAACGGCCGCTGATGCAACACACGATCAGCTGGTAGCGGTGCAGCTCTCTCAGACGCAGTAGGGGCATCAGCCCGACGACAGACAACACATTTCTCCTTGACTGCACGCAACATGCGTCGACCACCAACAATCAGATACCGGCGGCGTACAAACGCAAGGCACGCTTCCACACCCTGGTGGAGCCGGCTAACATGGACATTCGTCAGCATCAGCCTTGTCAGGCAGTGCTTGGCCAGCAGTACTGGGTGCGTCGTGTCGGGATCCAAGTCGGCAAACTGCAGTCGTAGCGTCGCACGAATCAGACCATCGTTGTCGAGGAACGGGCTGAACTGGCCAATCTTCGACGACTTCGGTACGCTACGGCCATTGCGCAGCTCAGACAACTCTGCCGGAAAGCACTCCTCCTGGATAGCTCTCAACAGCACCTGATCTGCCTTGGCACTGACAACTGCTGCGTCCTTGTACTTCCAGGAAAGCATCCGGCGAACAACTCCCTGGACCCGTGTCCACTTGGACAAGCGAAGCCACCACTGGTTCTTGGCATCAGGTGTCAGCACTGCTGTGACGTGCAGCTCCATCTGCGACTCGTCAGTAGGCACTGGTTCTTCCTTCCTCGGCCACTGACCATCTCGCAGCCACGCTGGGCCCTGCTGCCAAACATCTCCCATCAGCTCCGTAACAGACGCACCACGACTAGCGATATCCGCTGGGTTGTCAGCTCCAGGGCAGTGCAACCACGTAACCGAGTGCTGCTTAGCGATGGCTTGAATTTCGCTAACACGATTCGAGACGTATGTCTTCCAGCGATACGGAGGTGCTGCCAACCACTGGATCACTGTCATAGAATCCGACCAAGCGTGCACAGTGGCTGGTGACACGGACGACTGCTCCAGTACAAACTGTAGACAACGGGCACCGATGAACGCTGCTTGCAGCTCCATGCGGGCCAAGGTATGAGCTTTCAGCGGGCTCACCTTGGACTTCGCAAACACTAGCCGGCTGACTCCGTCGAACACGTAGTAGATGCAACAGCCATACCCGAGCTCTGATGCATCACAGAACAGGTGCACTGCAGGCGCGTCGCTTCTGTCACCTAGCCAACGTGGGAAACATAGCGATGGGAGCAGATGACGGTCTTGCCACCACTTGATAGCGATACTCGCTGACTCTGCACTCAGCGGCTGATCCCAACCACTTGCCAGCTTCCAGAGTTCCTGCATCAGGATCTTGCCCTGCAGCGAATATGGCGACACGAATCCGAGTGGGTCGTAAATAGAAGCTACCGCCTTCAGTAGCGTGCGCTTCGTCCAGGGCAACTTGACGTCATCCGTCTTGCCGACTGGAAAGCACAGCTCGTCAGTTACCGTCCAGGTACAGCCAAGGACCTTAGACTCTTCTGCGGCTTCATCAGTACTCGTGTGCCACTTGCGCAAATCCATGCCGACAGTACTCAGGCTGTGAACACTCTGCGCGCGGAATTCGTCAGCTTCCTGTGGAGTGGATGCACTGGCCACGCAGTCATCAACATAGAGACTTTCACGTAGGTGGTTCAGTTGCTCGCGTGACTTGGGATCAAGCTGCTCTGCTTCGGCATCCAGATGGTGTTGCAGGATTGCCGTCAAAATAAACGGAGAGCAATTGACACCAAATGGCAAACGGGTGAGGCGGTACGTGGTCATCTCGCCCTTCTCATTGGGCCACAGAAACCGGACGTAGCGACGGTCAGCTTCCTCCAGGCCGACCATGAAGAAGGCCTTCCGTATATCTGCCTGCATCGCAATTTCCCGCTCTCGGAAACGCAGCAGCAAACCAGAAATACTCGGTAGGAGAGACGGACCGGGGTCCAGAACATCATTCAGGGATTTCCTACCCTTCAGCGCTGCTGAGGCATTGAAGACAACTCGGACTTTCGTTGTTGTCGACTCAGCTTTGAAAACAGCATGGTGAGGCATATAATACCCATCCTGCTCCGGGTCTGGGTCGACTTCAACTGCGCCCAGCGCCATGTACTCGGCCAGCAAAACTGCGTCGTAGCGCTGCCTCTCAGGGGTGTCTGGGCCCAGCTTCTTCAGCTGCGCATTCGCTGCTGCCAACGCCTGCCACCGATTGTCCGGTGGACGCTCCTCACTGGCCCATAACAGCCCGACCTTGAAACGACCGTCTTCCATGGCAATGGGGAAAGCTGGCCAGTTGCTGGACTGACCCACAGGCGCTTCCATTTCCCAGAGTCGGTCGATCTGAGACTGTACGACTCCCACCGTGCGCGTTGCTGACTTCCCGGGTACAGGCTCACCCACTGGCCCAACAATCAGCCAGCCAAAGTCCGTCCGCCAGACAGTCTCTCCACCACTCTGCCGTTTCTCTTGGAAGAGGTCAAACGCGTGGTCAGCACCGATCATTAAATGGATCTCATCCGAGACCCCAGGTGTAGCCACATCACTCAGCGCTATTCCTCTCTCCTTCCAACGCTGCACACAGCCTGCAGATGGTTTCGGCAGAGACAAACTCAGCGACTCTTGCTCAAAGGCCTCGACCTTGATGGTTCGCTCGGTCGTCACTAGGCTGATATCCTTGACTGACATTGACTGCATGGACTCGTCATGTCCAAATGCCTGCACACGCACTCGTTGATGGCTGAGGGTCTTGGCTCCAACGGCCGAAACCAGTGCTGTGGAAACAAAGGATGCCTGGGAACCTGGGTCCACAAATGCTCGGACTTTCCTGCTCCCGGTGGGTCCAACCACCTTAACCACTGCCGTCATTAGGCGCACATCCTCATTCCGGAATGACACGGCATTCACAGTCCTCCCGGGTGGGTGCAGTAGCGGGTGGTGCTTCTCCTTGCACTTGTTGCACTTGGCGCTCTCATTGCATCTAGCCTGGCGATGTCCCCATCTCAAACAGTTCCGGCACAACCAGTTCTGGTTCACATACTTCTGACGCTCCTGATACTCCAGGTCGCCGAGGGCTCGCTCAGCAGCATCCACGGTGACTCGAAACGACTTCGCTGTCACTATGTCACCCTCCAGTGCGGGCTTGGGCTTTGACGCATGCCCACGTGCTCGGCCATGTGCCTCTTGGTACGACGTACCTGCCGCTTGAAAGTCAGCAAATGTCAGCGAGTAACATTTCCTTTCAAGCATAAACGCCTTGAGTTCAGGACTCCCTGCCTCCAGCACCAGCTGCTTGATCAGGGCGCCCATGATGCGCTCATCTGCTGCGCCGAATCCATCGTCATCAGCCTCACCGTCATCATCATCACCCGCACCACCACTACAGTCCACACCACCTGTGAGCTTGGCCCACAGGCAGACCTCTTGTGCAATCCGCACACAGAACTGGTAAAAGGACTCTTCCGGGTTCTGATGCGTCGTGGTGAGCGCTCGCCAGGCCTTCTCCGGCGTCTTGCCGAAGGCGAGCAGCAACTCTCTCTTTGCGTCGTCATAACGATGGCAACCTTTACACGACTTCTCCAATCGTGTCCCCACCACCGCCACTCTCAGTCGAATCAGCCACTCATCCTTGGTAAACCCATTCTGGGTGGCCACGTCCTCGAACAACTCCAGGTACGTGGTGATCGACTGCCGATTGTCATATTTCGGCATCTTGATAGTCGCACGCTTAGTCACGTGACTCGTAACACTACTGGTACTCGCCAGTCTGCTCCGCGGACACTCCGCTTGCGATACCGACTCGACCTCACGCTTGATGTCGGCCAACTTCTGATCATACTCCTCCCGCAGTTGGGCCACGGACCGGTTTTCCGCTCGTTCGTTTCTCTCTTTAACTTCAGCCAAACGAGCATCGACATATTCTCTGAGGTCATTCTCCTTATAACCGTACGCCGTACCGTTTCTGATAAACGTGGCCTCCAGATCGCCTAATTCTAACGATGCCATCCTGGCGTGGTCGCCAAAAAATGTGGCCAACAAGGCTCTTCAATAATACTTCACACAAGGGTCGTAGGAGACATCGTAGGCAACCTGGTTCCAACAATCACTCGATTGAAAGACGGAAAGACGAAAAGACAAACGACAAGAAAACCTGAACAAGAAGGCCCGAAAAGGACCAAGATGTCCAGAAAAGGATAAAGAAGATAACGTAGTACAAATTATCGTACAACAAAGCAAGATACGGGGGAACCATGCGCGCGACCGCGCGGGTTCACAAAAGCTCCCGTGAAACAGATATGGATACGTGATGTCAAAGAAAGCGAAAGGGTCAGGAGTACAAATCTGACACGGCTTCTAGATATGGATACGTGATGTCAAAGAAAGCGAAAGGGTCAAGAGAACAAATCTGACACGGCTTCTAGAAGACACACTACACTACTACGTCATGAGTACGCGACTGCACAGTCAGCGTAACTATAGAAAATATGGCGACTGGTCTGCAAGCAACGACCAGGTGCAGAACAAAATCAAACAAACAGAAATATTCAAAATACGGTTGTGAAAGAAAGAAGAAAAGAATGAAGCTGAAGGGTTACACCTGTCAGACGGTGTTAGCACCCGACGCTGGGTGACAGCAAACCCTGTCAGGTAGTGGTAAATAATCCTAACACTTTCTGCAGCAGAACTTCAATCGCAGCGAAAATACATCTCAGGTAAGAAACTCTAAAACTCTTGCAATAATTCGAGCGTCTCAATCTATCGCGATCCACTCACAACATACGCATGCAAACAACTCGAAACAGAGAATGTATCGGTCTGCGACAACAAGGTAGGCATGTGGGGGCAGGCTTGTTGTGGCCCCTTGGTGCTGCAGGCTGTAGTGGCCATGCACAGTTCTGCATGAATTTTGTTTGCTCCTCACTCAGCACATTCTGGGGCTGCATACATGTACTGGCATGCTCTGGCGCTACACACCACAAGGAAACCCGACTCCAGTTGAGATGGCACCTTTTGAAGGGTGAATCTAGTACAACTATACAAAAACAAGCAAGAACACAGCCTTTCAAACTGTTCCACTGTTCGTAGGATGCGCATAGTGATAGTGTGCTGGCGTGCTGCAATGTCTGCTTGGTGCTGACCAGCAAGTGAAATCTCGGCACGCCGTACAATCCCTTGCAGCTAGCTGTCCAGCGAGGAAAGTCTCAAGTGGAGGCCTCTCGATCTGCTCGCTCATTCGCCTGGCATTCAGTAGCACTTCATCGCCAAGGACTTCAATTCAAAACAGTTTTCACACTGCGCTTCTAGCCTTTTTCCTCGTGAACTTGCTGCAAACGTATGAGCTCTGCTGCGCGTGTTCCCTTTGCGTGAGGCCCAGAAACAGCTAGTATCTCCATACTTCGATTGGCTGGGTCGATGCCGTCCAGGTTCTCCTCGCTATCGCCATCACGACTCTAACTGGAGACGATTTCTTCACCATTTTCCGCAAGCAGCAGCTAGCGCAGACATTTCGCCATCCCTGAGTGAAGGAGATGGAATCCGTTCGATCAGCTCAAAAACTCTTCGTTGTGACTAGAGGAGTAGCAGGGAATATTCTACCGGAAGCCCTTTGACTTCCCTGACTGCTGAAACCCTTCCTGCCATGACTGCTACTTCTTCAAACAAGCGAGATTCTCTTTGGTTCCACTTCACTGCACTCGAGCGTCCACGCGACACAACCGTTTTACAAAACATCATTTTTCTCAAAAAAATGATTTTCACCCTAAGCCTGGTTTTCGCAGAAGTTGGGCCATATATGGATACACCTGTAAGCAAATTCTTTTGAAAGAAAAAGAGAAAGAGAGAGAGAGAGGGGGGGGGGGGGGGGAGGGGAGCACAATGTACTCCACTGAATCACCATACGATGAAGTGTCGACCCACAATTCACCTCCATAACCCACTGTGTACCATTGGGAGTGGTGATCTACTTACCCGGTGTCCTCGGAGGGTTCATCTTCGGGATCACTGCCAGAATACGTGTAGTCATCGTCCCCAGCATTGGCTGCATTGGATACAACATCAGTGGAGCCACAACTAAGCAACGGTGATAGCCGACGTCCAGGGGCATGAAGAGTGTTTACAGCATGCACTCGACAAGAAGGAATTTCAAACATGACAGCACTAGCCGCATACCTTTCTTCCTTTTGGACTTGTCAATCATGTCCTTGAGGTGAATCCGACTGTACCGTTCGTTCACCTCCTTCATAAAGTCATGCTGTTTACCAATAGCAACAAGACAAAGGATCACACGTACACACAAGCACGCACACACACACACATGCACACGCACACACACACATACGCACACACACACACGCATACACACACACGCACACAAACACATGTCTGTGCTGATATCTACCTGCTTGCATGCGACTTTCTCATCGATACTGCCAAGCAAGCAACCCCAAGCCAATTTATCTTTGGTTATATTTTTCAATCCTGTATAGTTCTGACTGAGATAGCTCGGTAAGATTAAACTGTGCTTGTCCTGAACCTCTCTACTGGATGAGTTAGTGTTAGTTGTGCATGAAGTGTGAGGTAGTTGGGATAAAAAAACGAACATTTTGGCACCCAGTAGCGCCTTGGTCCAACCACCTGCGATCCTTCCTCTCTGCTAGTCCTCGCCCCAGGTAGATATTGGTCCCTGTAGCGCTCAGTAAGTTTCTTTGTTTCCTGTATAGTCATAACTCTTTCTCTTATCTTCGTGCGACTCAACCCACGTACCTCTTGTGCGCGCCGAAAGTCGCGCCTAGTACTGGAAGACTGCATTTGCAATGTCTCGTTCAATTTACTTCGCGCATACGGCTCGGAGGTGCTGGTGAGATGTTTCGGTGCGGTACAAAGTACAATCATGTACAACACCGTAGAGGTTCTGTTACGTACGCTTTGGCACACGGTTGTTAGCTGCACTTGGATCGCGGCAACTTAGTTTTCTGCACGTGAACCATGAAAAATCAATGCATGCTCATGCATGTTCATGCATAACCAGTCAGCTGGCCTGCTCGCCCACGCATTTGACAGGTAACAATTCCATCAAATTTGAGATATCGCTTCGTTCTAAGTCTCAAAACAGTTCTAAAGTCACCAAACCACGCTGGTAATCGATGGCTATTCAATGTTAACATCTTCAGGAAGACTTCAGCCGTTTCCCGAGAGTTTGGGCATCGTTGCCGTTATTTTTCACGGTGTTCTTCTTCCTCCTGTCTGGAGCTGCAATTGCATCCTGGAATTATTTGAAAGGTATTTCGTGCGGGCTGTGGGGGGTTCCAACAGGCATAAACTGACATCACTATAGGATAACTGGTAACTTTCACCCTTCAAGGAGGTAGAGCAATGAGAATTTGTTTGTGGCGGTCGTCCAATTTTTGTGGCGGTCGTGGCTGTATTTGTGCACTTCCAAGGCTTTCATTCTGCCTGATACTCTCTACTGTATGGGAATCGTTGTTTAGGCACATGTAGCTGTCTTATTTGGTAGATCTGCTGTTTTCAATCACTTGGGACACTTTGTCTAGCCTATTTGTCTTTCGTTCGTGCCATCTATCAGTTTTGTGGGGTGCCTTGACCTGTATTTGTGAAGTTCTCGAGTAAAGACCCTAATTCTTGACTGGAGTCACGTCTTGAATTGAATTTGCTGGGTGAGCCCTCGTTCACGCAGTTGTCCTTATCGTAATAGTCAATATCTGCTTGCTGGACGGACTAGCGGCTAGAACAGGGATGACCAAATGGTCCAAGTGTGTACTAGTACACGATTATTGTTTCCATCATCGTGAAATGAGCGTTGTGGAATTGCAGTCGTCTGCCTTTGGCACTCAGGACATGAGGAGAGTTGATTGTTACTTCTGCTCAGCAATGAAGCGATCATCAGCTCTCTTTGTTCTAATTATTGAGAGGACATACTGGCATCGCAATCAAGTAAAGATTAGGCAAACCTCCAAAGAGAGTCGAAGATATTTTCTCCAAATGCAAAGACGATCTTTGTGAGTTTGTGACTTGCATTTGCGTGCATACATGAGCAAGTCACGGACCACGGCACGTGCGCGGTTACCATGCCATCTCGAACCGACGCCATCTTTCTAAGTTGCCGCTTCTTGACAGCCGTGTGCAACAAAGCTGACTTTTTTTATTCCCGTAGCTATGCAGAAGACGTTACTTCAGTAACGTCTGAGGCTAGCCAGGGTCCACACAGCTTTAATTTGGTATTTGTTTGTGTGTTTGTTTGTTTGTTTGTGTCACGCCTGGCGCTATCCCGTATCTGACGGCAAAAAATCATAGGGATGTTATAAATTTTTCAATTCTCCTATTTTTTTCAGGCATATCCTGGGATTCGAACCCGCACTATCGCCCTACATGCATTCCCCCATACACTTCGCATTCATACCCATTCTTTAGTTGCTTCACGTTATGATCTTGCGTTTGAAAGCCCTATTTGAATATTGCGGGCAGCTGTATGTGGCCAGCTGTGTTTGATGGTACGGTACGGGAGACGGTGTCGTATTACCCTCGATCGTACCTGTCCCGTACCTATCCCTACCGTACTGTACCATCAAAGACGGCTGGCCACAATGCATATTCAAACAGGGCTTTCAAATGCAAGATCATAATGTGAAGCAACTTGGAAGAATTAGTATGTATGCGAAGTGTATCGGGGGATGCATGCAGGGCGCGATAGTGCGGGTTCGAATCCCAGGTTATGTCTTAAAAAAAAAAATTTTTTAAAGAATTTATAACATCGCTATGCTTTTTTTGTCTAGGTCATCAAGGCAAAAAAGCATAGCGTAGGGCCCTGAGCTTCCAAGCTCTCTCGTTTTATATATTTATTTTATTCTTATTTCTGGTACGAAGCTGGATGTCCCTGTTATCAGGGCCAGAGGTCTGACATACATCATCTCGCGGAGGCCGCTTGGCAGGGTCCTACTGATTGGCAGCTCGCCATCAGGTTCCCAGAGAGCTGTGCACGGTTCGGCGCGCGTCTCTATGCTTATGCAGCAGAGGTCCGGGCGGCAAGGAACATCCCAATGCAGCAGGCAATGCTGCCCAGCAGTCGTCCTCGCGCACGTGTCGAATGCATTGTGTGAATTGGTCATCGCTGAACGACAACAGTTTGTCGGTCTTTGGCCAACTGTCAAGAATGTCTGCTTCAGCCCATCAGGTAGGAACCTCTTTCCCGAAAAGTAGCTACTGTGGTCTGTAGATTAGTTCCATTCCGTCAAGAGAACGCATCTCCGCATCCGGCACTGCCAATCGACCAAATCGCTTTACTCTCTCACAGATGATATAATATATCCACATCACCACCTGCCGGACTCACCCCGACACTGCCGACGACATGATCCAGGAACTCGCCCAAGACGCGTTTGACTGGCCGTCGAGACTGGTTTTCTTCTACTGTACTTATGATGGTAAGTTAGAAAGCATCGTGCACTGAAGGGGAAGTCGCCCATGGAGGTCTATCTGAGGCAGCCCAACTTCTCCATTCATGTTGAGACGTCCCGATGTAGTATCTCTAGCTCTGTCAGTGAACAGTGATCACACAGCCAAGTCTCTACCAGTAGTTCCATTGTAGTTCACAGGTACATTCTATCTAAGTGCTTCTCACGCGCAACCACTTAGGACTAGATAGCCCTGCTTGCAAGACCGGTAAGGCATGACCTATCGCATTCATGCTGTACTAATACATTACATTGATTCCTGTACAGTCAGTTCCCCATCACTGACCCTCTTGATCCCTTGCGAGATTCCTTCCTGGTTCTAGGCATCCAACAGCTTTCTTCCCCGAATCCATGCTATTGTTCAGCCCTAGCTCACACACATTCAAAGGTCTTTTCCTTAGATCTTTCAACAGTTGTCTTCCTAGTAATCTTTTGCCCTCGCTCCCAGCTGCTCTCTCCCTCTGGCCTATATAAACCCATCATTCTTCCTCATTGCTGTGTGGAATTATGAAGTGAAGAGTTTAAAGCCCAAGAGCTTGTTTTCCTCCCGCTAGTGCTGTCAGCCTGTATCACTTTCTGTTGTAAGTGAAAAGTGCCTCAGACACGAGCAGGCTGGCAGACACTACACTGGTGTCAGAAGTGTTCGTATTCCCCGTGACCTTCCGCTCGTTTTTGTCGCCGCTAGTGCTGTCAGCCTGTATCACTTTCTGTTGTAAGCCCAAAGTGCCTCAGACACGAGCAGGCTGGCAGACACTACACCGTGATGACTTGACATCCGACGAGAAATAATCCCTGGACCAGGCTCACCTAGATTACCGGGTGACTCAGACGTAGAGGAGTCTGGAGGAGTCACATGCCAGTGCATTGAATGAGAATGATCCTGAAGACGGGATGAACTTCCTCCAGCCATACCAGGCGCGTGCCCATCAAGGGTGGTTTTGTGGAGCGGCGCGCAACTCGCATCTTCATCACGAGCACGCTTCGTCCCAATGATTGGTATCGCCAAGAGTCCATAACACCCAGAGTGTGCAACGCCACACAAATCTCTGTCACGACTCGTTTTCAACATTACGTCATTTTTCATGTAGCTGCGCGTGCAGGCCGTGACCATGAAAATGACGTAATGTTGAAAACGAGTCGTGACAAGACCCTATCGCGCGTTGCACACTCTGGGGGATATGAACTCTTGGTATCGCCACAATGATCATGTGATCAATGTGATCAATGTTGATCATCAATGTGATCAATGTGATCAATGTGATGCGACTATCGGGACCATATAATGCGCCGCGTTACTGAGTTTCGGAACTTTGGCCGTAATCTGTGGTGTGGCGTGCTAGCCCAAGCATACCTACCACATCACACACTTTTGCTGTTGAAATCTGCTTCCTTACGTACTCGGCGGGTGTTGCTGGATTTGACAGTGCTTTTCTTCTTTTCAATCCCAACTGCTTTGGTTATACAAGCTTCCTTTTTTTAAAAGCTATGGTTTGTAGCAGCTTTCGTGTTCTTTCATACTGCTTTTCATTTTACCAATAGAGTTTGAAACATCTTCAGCCTTGCTCTTGCAAATAGCTGTTCTGCGTATCTTTAAATGCACTTTCTCAATTACCCGGTATAATTGTTCCTATTATTTATTTATTTATTTATTTATTTATTTCTGCACCTCGTGGCATGTCAAGACAGCCAATTGAATTGAGTCCTTCCTGAATATCAATCATACACAATCATACATAATCATACACAAAGACACTTTGGTACATACCTGAAGGAGCTCATCTACAGTTTGACGTCTGCGAAAGTCCTTCAGCAAACACTGCTCAACAAAGTGCATGAACTTTCGCGACCTGGCACAGAACGACAATGGCAAGGCAAAGTAGAAGTGATGCTCAGGTCCGTGTAGTCTCAGTCGACTTGGCTTCCAACACCATACATAGCACATGCCACTATATCCCTGTACGGGGCACGATGTATACATAGAACTGACCAAGACGAGGTCTATATGGGAAATATAGGCCGAGTTTAAGACCGAGGTCTGCCGAAGTCGAAAAAAGAAGAGTGATAAATGGAGATATTGCAGTACAAACTATCAGCAAAAAACTTCTAGGAACAGGTATTTGGTATTGTATTTTATAATTTTACTAGGGCATTCCCAACAGACCCTAAGATCTTCTCACAGGGTGCCCAAGATGAATGAATGTGTTAAATTCCTGGCAAAATAAAACGGGGGAACAGGTAACTGACAAGTGAATGCCACAACACTGCGAGCGCATGCAAATTTGGAACACACAGCCACACACACACACACACACACACTAGGAGTATAGTTGAGACTTTGTCTAAGGCTCACCACTTCCTCGACTTGAGCCTTGGAGGTTGATTGCGTGGAATGAGAAACAAGGCACGCATAGGATGGATTGAGCAGAGAGCTGCAGACCAGTGAGAACAACAAAATGATGGTCACCACTAGCTACCACTAGAAACCATTGGTTAAAACACAACTAGTGGCTTTGAAGCCGTGCATCGATTAATGAAAAGAGATGCTGCAAAGGACCAATTCATATAGCAGGTTTCGATGTTGGAACGTCCATTCCTCAGCAATAGGTACTGCACCAACCAATACACTGCAATGCCATGCATAGTACTGATCACTTACGTGGCTCACTCTCCGCCATCTCTATTGCAGTAATGCCAACCGACCACACATCACACTGCAAGGCAGAATGACACACACACACACACACACACACACAAACAACAGCGATGCATTCTGACCTATCTGACCACAACCATCGATCAAGGCATTGTCACTAAATTGCACCTACCATGTACTGTATAAGCAGAAATATTCGTCTGGAATTTAATTTCGTCTTTTTCGTCCAAGGAACTTTTGGACTAAATTAAGTGCCGGACTAATGTCGATCTGTCCAGCTTTTCTATACACTATTATGATCCATGGACGAAATTTTCAACCGGATGAACTCCCTTTGTTAGGAGTTGGACGAAGTTTTTGACCGACGAAATTTTCTGCCTCTACAGTAGGTAGATGCCAAACATACTAAGAAAATGTTGGGAGAGAACTTAGTCTGTAAAAGACAAGAGGGGTTGAGTGAATGCGAGAAGGTTCTAGTGAAGCAGAGTCATGATCTATCCTTGATTGGGTAATCTTAATCCTGTCAGCGCTGCTGCTGTCTGGATCTCAGTCCTGTCAGGCCTAGTGCAAAGTTCTCCTCAACACATCTTTGTCCTGTCCTTGGAGAGCCAGTTGAGAACTCCTGTTGTCTTTGTCCAGTCACAACGAATCAGCTACAGTCTCCTGTTGTAACTGATGCTGTCTAGTTCGGCAACCCACGTATTCAGATACCCCTGATGAACCCTACGCGTACAAGAAATAATACCAGCATGGCATAGGTAGACACAGCATGGAACACAACGCATGCCGGGATACACATTTCAGTTAGTACGTACCCTGTGATCATACGACGCGTCTTCTTGCTGGTCGCAAGCGATGACCTCCGGGGCCATCCAGTATGGTGTACCGATGAACGTGTTGCGCTTTCCTATGGTCCTGACAAGTTGGGCAGAAACGCCGAAATCCACTGCCCAGAGCAGTCAGACAAACAATCACCAATGCCATGTCATAAACAGTGGCAATAATAGGCCAGACTATCGAGGATTGGATGAGATAACTATCCTTAACTCACGGCTCATGTTTTTTTTCGAACTTGAGTTGATAAACCTACCACTGTGAACCAAGTACTAATCCGGCACCATATTTAACAATCTATTGCTTTACACCATACATGATTCTAGCTAGTATACCAAACCCTTTTATTGTAAGGCAAAGCGCACATCCTCAAACTGGTTACAAATCCCAGCTAAGGCACCGATGCAATGTCATTAATGACTGATTCAGTGTGATTAATGTGCATAGGGCACCACCAGCTGTATTGAATAATTGACCATAGCCAGAAGTTGTTAGGTTGTTTTACTAGTCTCTATAAACATTCACCCATGTGCAAAGGTGCTAGTTGGCCTACAACACCACACCGTCGGCTGGGTTACACTGGTCCATCATAACCACTCACCCAGCTTCACATCTCCATTCTCGCAGAGCAGAACGTTTTGTCCTTTGATGTCGCGATGGATGACTTTGTTCTCGTGAAGGTGGCTCAGACCCTTTGCACAAGGGAAAAAGAAAAGTGTACAGACAACACAACTTTATCAGAAGTGAACGTTGAGCACATTATCTACAGAAGTGCAAGTCAATGTCACCAGCAAGAGCACACGATCTCCAAGAGTGTCCAACTGTGGTTTACGGAGTACGCACCAGAATTTGTCCAGCCTGTGGCAAATGAGTGCACCCTACTGTACAAGATGACCAGAGCGTTCAGGTTCGGGTACATCTCGCCGGTGATCATTTCGCACTGTTTACTCACACAACCTTTCGGCTCCTAACATGTGATAGAGAGGTCTGTTGTCACAGCTCTGGATAGAGATATCAAGGCATATGCCACTCTCGTGGGTATTACGATTGTACTGGTTGTAGTACGCGGCTGTGGCACGGTAAAGCAAGCATGTACTACATGTACTTCAGGCAATTCCAGTACAGGTACGCCTGCATTGTCCTACGATTCGTACGTGGCTTTCACTCTCTGCCTACAGAGTCCCATCCTACTCACAAGGCCACTGCCAACGTATCAGATATATTCCACAACACATGCATGTTAGATCTCATACACTACAAAACGACACAGCTCCCGCAACTAATGAATATAGGAAAAAAATCATAATTTCTGTACTGAGCTGTCTGAATATCTTGTTCCGGTACCTGGCTGATGCACTCGTACATGTACATGTACGTGTATTGATGGTACTAGTACTAGTAGCTGCCATTGTGGATAGCCAAGGCAGGATGGCATGCAGGTGTGATGTACCAAGATCAATGCCAGTACCAGCCATTGCTCGATGGTTTAGGATCACACATACCTATACTATACAAGGTGATTCGCAGCATTCCTGGCTGACCCACATCGATAACGTGCGCTCCAAACGTCACAGCGTATTCGCTCGTGCACGTGATTGCACTTCCACGCACCAGTGTACATGTAGGTACCGTTGGAAGAAGGGCCTTCTTAGGAGGTGGGGATCAGAGTCTAGCCTAGGCTGTTCTCTTGTTTTTCAAGTAATGCAGTCTATATTTACATGTAATTGAGTCACTGTGGCATAGTGGTACGCTGTACTTGGTTAAATCATAGCCTTCTTTTCGGCAGTACTGCAACCATGGTAACTCAATGAATAATGGAAACGTTGAGTTTTTGACAGTCACATCTCTGCTGGTGGTTGCAGGCCTCGTGAAATCACATTAACATTGCTAGGGGAAAAAAGTGTGAACTTGCTTGGCTTTTCTACTTTTTCAGTACCCAGTCAGTCGTTGGTTGCTTATGCACATCCCTGTGGAAATATTGCTTATGCCTAGCGATGACATCTGCAGGTTAATACAGCCATACATGTATTTTGCATGTTTCTGCGCCTCACCTTCATCACCTCTCTGGAAACGTAGGCAATGCACTCTTCTCGCAGTGACTGTTCCTTAGAGCCTAGCCAAAAACAAAATGCGAATCAAACAGAAAATAAATGGAAATATGCCTGGGGGAGTTGGGGACTATGAAAAAAACTTTGGTAATCCAGATGTGAGCTCACACACACCTTAAAGATTCGTATGACATGCTCAGTGATAATGCCTTAGCAGGGAGGAGGCTTCCTGTACCTAAACCATCCAAAGACGGTGGGGCTCCACTCACTTTTTACTAGGTCCGTAATGGAGCCTCCGCCGCAGAACTCCATGACTAGCTGCAATAACAGGAAGTGAACATGAGAAAAAAAACATCAGCAAAGAATCCATCTGCTGGTTGACAAGCAGGCCATGTAAGAGGATGCACGAGCAACAAAGGTTACACGACACATGTTTTGGATAGCTGAGCATCCATGACATTCATAGTTCCAATACACTAAGAATGGATCCGGCAAGAATGAATCACCGTGAATGTCAAAACATCGGGAACAGTTTTGACGGGGATTTGTTGCTTGAAGAAGCTCAGAGTCAACTGCGTCCACCCACCCAATCTGCTGCATGTATTCGTGGATGGGAAAGTAAACACTGCGCCAGGGAGGGTTTCAATCGAAACCTGGCACTTACCCAAAGGCTGTCGTCTCTATCTGGGTTCTTCCGGATGAACGCTCCATAGTACGTGGCAATGCACGGGTGATGGGAATACTAGAGAACATCGATTGCATCACACAGAATTAGAACGATGTGTTTAAAATAAACAAAACTATGGTAAACTGGGGAATATTGGCAGAAGACAACCCCCAAGTGAGAATATGGCCCCATCTGGCATTAGCGAAACAATATGCACTTGCTCTTAGACAAGACAGACATCCCAACATCACAATAAACATGAGGCAGCTTCGCCAGTATGGTAACCGGGACGGATTATAGCAGACAAGTTCTACTTTTCAGAAGTCAAACATGGCTTGTAATTCTACAAAGGCAGGGCTCACCTTCCGCAGTACGTTGATCTCCAGCCGGATGTCCTCTTCTTCTTCCTGTCAGGAAAAATTGCAAAAGTCAAGCATTTCATGTCAGCTCCGGTCTCTTCTGGACACGTGCCGACTCAACAGCGCGACAGGTAAGTAAGGGGTTTGCACAGCCAACACAACACAATACCATACACTTTGGGACAGCCCATAGAGTGTACACTATCATTAGCAGTACACACTGTGAGCGCCTCATTACGACATGTTTACAGGAAAGCAGCGCACGAGCAGTGCAGGCAAGTATTCATTCTGGGAAAACATGGGAATATGATAACTGTAAAGCAGTTGGTGATTACAGTTTCTAATTCCCACAAGTATACAGTCGAATGTCACTTATCCGATCACTTCAGGAATCAGGCATGTTGGATAACTGAATATGTTGGATAACTGATATCATTTTTATGTGCATATGTGGCTGGATTTCACTGATTTATGTACACAATACCCAAATATATTCATGCATATTCATGAATTGCTCCATGTACACATACATGTTAGCATACTTGACCACATCTACTTCAAGTAAATGCATATTACACCGTATAATATTAGGGATATCACCGTATTTTTTTCTTTCGTAGTAAACCAAGAAAACTGTTTGTTTTCGGGAAGAACTACAGTACAGGAGATAGCACAGAAAATTTGGTTGAAAAATCTTGAAGGATACCAGAGATATGAGGCGTCAAAGTCATACGCCAACCTTCATCATGATGTATGCGGAATGCCATACTGCTGTGGCACCAACAGGGTTTTCCGGAAAGCCTAGCAAACGCTTAGCAACATTACAATATTGTCAGAATGCTATGAAATCTGGCTTGTAGGTGCAATATAGGTGTAATATAGGTGCAATACAGGTTGGTTAGTCCTAATATTGATCAAAATATAATATTTCGGCCAGCGATGACCAATGAGAACAAGCGCGGCGCCCGTAGCAACCACCATAGCAACAATGCTAAATCCATTGAACACGAGTTCCATTACTATGAAATTGAAGTGAGCACTGATGGCTATGGTTGTATTATACATGTACAAATAATAAATACAACAGTTTGATCTTCAGATGCCCAACTTTACTGCGGCTGTCACACAGTTGATCAATCATGTACATGTACATTTTACATGTAAAATGCACAATAGTGAAATATGCGTACAATCCAATCACTGACGCGATTCATGTCAGAGCACCACTCCATAGCAATTTCTTTCTGGTTTCAAGGCGACGAGTCGAATTCAAAAATTAATCATAGCTCACTTTTGTCGCAATAGCGAAAGTCTCCGTCAAGTGCAATCTTTCACTAAGGCCAACAAATCATCTGAAACACTCCTACACTCCTACGCTTGAACATATTGGGTCCAGAAATTCATTCATTTTGGGCGACCAGGAGGTGAAAGTCTTGAAAGCGCGATGAAGAGCGAGCCCCCAGCTCGAGAAGAAAGCACTATTCTACATAATTTGAGGTCGCTGAACACGATGGTGGGTGTTTCCTGGCCGTGTACTCCCTCCAACCGGATGAAAAATCCAATTGAAAACTACACTCCTCACAACAAAAAGCTCAAACTACAGTTGCCCAAGCAAGTGCGGCACCAAAACGAGCAGGAAGACCTCAGCTATAAAACGCACCAACTTTCAATTTTGAAAAAGAAAGCAGGACAAAGCAGTTCGACGAAAACTGCAGCGAAGTCCATGGTGCCACCGCTACCATGCTAATGTACGTGACCCGCGTGAAGGCTGTTTTCAGCTGATTTGTCACGTGACTGAACTCCCTAATAATATACAAAAAATAGAATTTTACTGTTGAGTCATAAAATTACCACTCCCGGGCTTGTCGGATAACCAACGTGCTCCGATAACTGGCGACCGGATAAGTGACATTCCACTGTACTTCGAAGTACTTTGTCCAGGCACTGTACACTGCTATTTAGCCCTGTTACTAGAGTGGTGAATAGCCTGCCACTTTCTAGTTACCAACACAGTGCACATATGTACAGGGATTCATAGTTTATTTCTATTCCACCGATCTCCTGCAAAAAGTAATCTTCCGTCTTCACTAATTCTGTGTCTGCAGCAATTGAGCGTGCTACCCGGCCTTTCAACAGCCCCAGCAGGCACTTAGGCAGAACTGAACAACTGCACAAAGTGTCACACGGAGGAAGAACATAACCCAGGCCGCTGCACTTAACACCTAACACAGAGGAAACTCTCGGACCCTAATTCAGCTTTAACTCAACTTATCAACATTCCCCGCACACATCCTGGTACAATTATTTGACGCCTCTCACTCAGGTGCCCCCGTTGAGATCTCTAACAAACGACAGACGGCATGCTGAGACCACTATACATCATTATGCATGATGTAGTATCGTGTTCTGCTGCTAAGTCATCACCAGGTAACATCCGTGAGAAGAAGCCCCAAGAAGCAGAGCTGTTTTTAATGATGGTGTGCTCTTTCCGTAGTCAATGCACCCAGCCTTCAGACTCAATGGGTCACAAATTTAAAAAATACCTTTCCTTATTAATGAATGAATTGGTCACACCAAGCATAACAGCTACTTTGAAGTAGCACTATCATAATTATTAATATGATCTGTCAGGCTCTACTGTTGAAGTACAAAATATGCTTTCATCGTGCAAACACATGTTCAATTTGTATCCCATACAATTAGCACACGTCACTTCCGCACAATGTACACTGTCTTACTGCCAATACTGGACCCTTAGCACCCCATTAGGAATAAGTGTTGCTACTATTCTGACATTGACATTAGCCATGACTGCACTGGGCACTGAAAACACAATTGACCTGCCGGGGAGAATAGGGTGGTCCTCCAAACCAAAGTACTGGCATACACACAAACACCCGTTACTGCCTTAGACATGGCAGTGTATAGGTGACAAGTGTGTCATTCCAACTGCCCCAAGGGTAGACTACTATGTGTGACAGGATAAATTGGATTACGACCAATTTACATCTTCACTGGGCACAGATATCTCTTACTTCTTAGTAGAAACAGCTCACATGGCCCATCAGCTGATACCTGACCGGGCTGGCCACAATGGTTATTCTGCTGGATTGCCACAAAGAAGCGCTAGTACTACTAGTATTGCTCCCAGGATTGAGGATTATCAATTCATGCATTTGCTCGAATTTTGCACTGTCGCAATGCGTAGCTTGAGTTCTTGCCATTCAAATCACTACCAATTCCGAAGGCTATCCATTACCATGATCATCTCCTCCCATTTACTACCACTGGAAGAACATCTACGATATGAAGGATAAGAGGAATCAGCTACTTCCTGAAACAAGAAGTACTGAATTGGCCATAATTCACCCACTACTGATCACGTCATTGACTTTGACATGAAAGATTATGATTACAATTATCTGCAACGGAAAACTGGGAGCAGACACCACACTGTAATCATGGTAATGGAGCTTCTCTGACACAGGTGCTAGGTGCTAATGACTACACAATGCTGCACACGTGGGCAGAGCTAGTTCTAATCTTGGCATGTTCGCTGAACCAGGCAGAGAGAGAATTACCAGAGCATGGACCATACAAAGAACATGTTGTGTTACAGAGAGACAGCAACAAAACAAACACACACACACACAATAACTTGAGCCTGATGTAACTGTTGGCAGTAACCTTCTCACACCAGAACAGAGAAAGAACTCCCAAACTACCAGGCACCCAGAAAACGTAACAAGAAAGGACTTGAGCCTTACTTAGTTTAGGTAACAACTAACAAGCTTACAAGGTGCTAAGACCCCGTGCCCCCCCCTTTATCCTAGGCTACAGCCAGGCGTTCAGCAATCCTTGTTCACTGTGACTGGCGCCCTGTTCAGCTGATGTGTGATGTGACAGTCCCCTGGCTTCTTTTGGCGGGTGCAGCTCCAAGAAGCGGCACGGGAGTTTTCATATCTTTGACAAGCTTCGTTTCGCTTTTATCTCCCAGATCAGATCAGAGCGTGCTTGCACGTGCCTCTGTTGATGAAAACACACAAATCGCTACCCGCTCCGTGTACCCCCAGACATGTCGACAGTAGCGTTTCTACCCTAGTACAAGTACGTGAACGAACAACAAACATGTACCACCAAACAGAAGATAGAGGACCGTGACACCAGAAGCTCCAGAACCTCTCTGCTACTGTATCGTCGAACAGCTAGTAGAAATACAGTCAGACGTTCGAAAAAGGACGATGAAACTATACGAGACACAATTTTAAAATAGAGCCGAGGCGATAAGCAGGTACAGCCCAGGGCAACATACCTCTGTTACATCCATCACTTTTATCGCCGCCAGCTGTCCAGTTTTTGTGTGGCGACCCTTCAAGGAAAGTAACACACGGAGAAATAGCACACAACTCAATGAGCATTATGTCCTCTCAGAGCGCAAGCTGCACTGGCAGGCACATGTAAGTAACGTTACGTATAACACTCGTCCGCGCTACCACACCAACACTGGCAACACAGGGCAGGGTGAGATTCTGGCCCGCCAGGGAGAAGGACGTGGCGCACATGTACATTTTCAAGCATTCAAAGCGAACACACATGCGGGCAAAGGAAACGAAAGACCAGTTGCATCTGCTTTGCAGGCCGCAGCGTGCCACGACTCAAGTTTCAGACTTGCACTTACCTTGTACACCTGGCCATAGGTGCCATGCCCGACCACTTCCACCAACTCAAATATTCCAGCTGGGTCCTGCACACAAAAAAAGGGACGCAGCCCACGCATGAACCGAACATCAAAGAAGGGAACAAAAATACTCCCTCTGGAACCTTTCAAACAGACGAATTCACGATGGGGGAAACGACATGAATACATCACTAAAATATTGGATAGACGAAGCTGAGAATGGCATTATGTCTCAAACGGGACACAACAGCACATACAGCGCTCATACACAGTGAACAACAAGAACAAAACAAACGAGCGACGTAGCGAAGATTTTGAAAGCACAGCAGCACACAGGCAGAGAAAGAAGGCGAGCTTTCAAAGAGCTAGCGCCAATACCTTCAACTGGCTGAGGTCGATATCACCAAGTCCCGCCATGATTCCAGCAAGTCCTGACCTCACCAGCTAACACCTGACCTTCTACGTGCTAAGCTTCTAACCAGTTACCTAGCGCCACCAACACCGCTGAAAGGCACCGCACAGCGATCTGCTCGTGCTTGCAGAGGTGTGAAGGAGATGAGCAGGAGAACGGCGCTCGTAAGCGAAGTGATCACCTCCGCTTCACTCAGCACACATCGGCTCGGCACGCTGCATGCAAACAAGCATTACTTTCTAGTAGTCATTCTCTCTAGTCCGTCAACCGCTCCCGATCCCGCCGGAAGTGCCTCACAGGTAATCCGTCCTCAGAGTTTTGCAAGAAAGAAGGCAGCAACAGCATACAAGCACAGCAGTGGCCTTCTCCACTCAACTAAATTTACTTGCACTGCAGACAGTGACAAAAAGAGGAGCCTCCACAGAACTAGAAGTGCAGGGAAACGATGATCGGAGCAGTTTTCGGCGAGGCCACATGAAACGCACGAAACGTTTCAAAAGTCAAGTGCCTCAAAAAGAGTGTACTGCCGCTGGCACTGATGACAGTCTGTATTGCGGCAAGCAGTGCAGTAGCTGAGCGCTGGTAGATCGTCAACCCGACTAGAAATCGGATTTCATGGAGCGGTCCAGTAGTAGTAGTCTGCATGGTCGTCTGTACTACAACACGACCATGTCATGTGCACATGTGCAGTAGACTAGACTCTGTTTTTTTTTTTTGTTTTTTTTTTTTTTTGTCTTTTTTGCGAATTAACTGTTCGTTCCTAGGCGCTAGGCCTACAAAGGCTAGATCCTCGGTTCCAGCATGAATTATTATAAATAGAAGGTAGATCTACACATTTCTCGTTTACGAAATCTTTCGTTAGAATGGTGAAAAGAAAACTGATCACTCCACTATACAGTCATCGTTACGCGACTGTATAGACTAGTGGAGTGATCAGTACTACATGACATTTTAGCTCGGACACATCGTAGTCTCACTGTGACATACATGTATGTTTTCTAATCAAAATACATGTACCAAGAGAGAAAGTGAATATTGAGTCCGTTCCGGTTTGCAACCTGTGTCCTATTTGAAACCGTCGCCCCTACACATTTCTCGTTTACGAAATCTTTCGTTAGAATGGTGAACAGAAAACTGATCACATACAGTCATCGTTACGCACATGTACTACATGACTGTATAATTTCGGTTCTTGTCGAGGTCTGTCACCCCGAACGTTCAGAAAAATACAAATTTATTTTGGTACAAACTATAGAGTTTAGTTACATGGATTTCGTGCCCCCCTAACGAATAATTATAGCGAAAGTTATTTCCACACGAAACTTTGTACTTATAATGTACAGTCAGTACTCCAAAGACCAAACACCTTGAGAAGAGTGAGTGTCATAGACTAGGTGGGGCTGAGTTAGTCCAGGCTCATAGTTACATGTACATGTACATGGTATTATAATAACCCAATACTAGTACAGTAGTACTAGTAGTATTATTAGATAAACCTTGTGTGTAATATACATGTAGTTCACGCATATTGTTAGATTGACAGCATGAAACAAGGTGGAGGACACTGTGTTTGGAAACAGTGACCTTACTACAACCTTCCGCGGTTGGCAGAGACCCGGTCCCTGCGGACCATCTGAACCATACATGTATGGGTGTTGGGAACCCTCTGGTTCTCTAAAGTGTCAGGAACGAACGACCCCACACGGCACGAGGACAACTATTTATTCTCAACAGTATATTTCACTTCCATCGACTAACTAAACGATGAATGAATGAATGAACAACTGAACAACTAACACTAAAACCACCAGGTAGTTATAGCATGAAAATGACAGCGTATATGAGAAAAGCATACACATACAACATACAACTACAGCGCACACAACAAACCGCACATAGCGCCTGTAGCGTATGCCACGTCGTAAACATCAGCGGTACGGCGGAGTCGGGATACAGCTGCATTGAAACGAACACAATGTCACAAGCGAGAAGGCCTTTCACTCTCGAGAACTTGTCGTTTCACAACAATGGGTGTCGCACCCGGTTCTGACCCTCATTATGCTAGGGGGGGGGGGGGGGGTAGGAGACTACTCCTGACGTCCGTCTTGTATTCTTCGCTCTTTTCTTTATGTCGTCCTGGTGGTCATGCGGTCACTGAAACCTCTACTTGTATAAAAAACTTTATTTTTCTTCCAACTTCTGCCCTTATACATGTATACCATGGCGTCCTTCTCTCAGCTCGTCAGCTGTCCACAGTTTTTTGTCATCACCATGACACTGTCGCGAGAAGGTGCTCTCTGTAGACCGGGTTGGTGATGTTCCGACGTGTCCATGGGACAACCTAGGCGGTAACCCCGTCTACAGAGAGCACCTTCTCGCGACAGACAGTGTCATGGTGATGACAAAAAACTGTGGACAGCTGACGAGCTGAGAGAAGGACGCCATGGGCAGAAGTTGGAAGAAAAATAAAGTTTTTTTATACAAGTAGAGGTTTCAGTGACCGCATGACCACCAGGACGACATAAAGAAAAGAGCGAAGAATACAAGACGGACGTCAGGAGTAGTCTCCTACCCCCCTAGCATAATGAGGGTCAGAACCGGGTGCGACACCCATACATGTTCAGATGGTCCGCAGGGACCGGGGCTCTGCCAACCGCGGAAGGTTGTAGTAAGGTCACTGTTTCCGAACACAGTGTCCTCCACCTTGTTTCATGCTGTCAATCTACACAAGAGAGAGTTTGGAAGTTTTGTCACAACTCCGAGTTTCACGTATCTCTACGATCATCAGGCAACTGATGGATCCAAAACGGGCAGCCAGAACATAAGGGGGTGCAAGGTGGGAAATTCCGAGGGGTGTCATAGGCGACGCATATCATAGCGCAAGAGTCAGGTGCAGGCGTGAAGTTGCCAAGTCTTCAGACTTGGGGCTATGCAGCAGTAGTTCCG